TGTCTACAATCATTATCAAACCATCGTTTATGTAAATGTGTGTTTGCAGAAATGCTTTCGTCTCCAATAGGATTTAACGGATCTGAAAATAGTTCAAGAGGGTCAGGAACATTCCTGTAAAGTCAAGTTTTGGTTTTTCTGTACGAAGTGTTTGGAATAAAGACGAATTGGTCTTGGTAAAGTTCCACCTTGTTGAAGATGGTTCGTCAGCGGGATTGTTTGAAAATGACCACTTACACAAAGTTCATCATGGACCGACCATTCAAATTCGTTTGAAATATTTGAATCCGAAAGTGAAAGATCAAGGACAGAGTGTGTGCCAGTGGCAGGATGCAGATAGGTGTTAGATCCATCATTGAAGATGCATAAGTCATTGTTTGAGATAAAATCTTCAAGGACTTTTCCCTTATTATTTGCATCAGTAATCTCCCATAGGGGATTATGACCGTTCATATCGTTCATGATTATGCAAGGAATCCAGAGCTAATCCTACAAAGTCTGAAGATCTGATTGACGGAGAGTTGAGGAAGGTTTGTTGTTTGTTTGTTGTTTACTCAGCAATATGACGACGGTCTGTTTGTAATCGAGTCTTGACCAGACAATCCAGTGACTGACATCGTCCACATCGATCCACGCTATTGGGATACGATGACATGCATCAATCAAGTCAGCGAGCCTGACCACCCGATCCCGTTAGTCTCCTCTTAGGACAAGCATAGTCACTTTTTATGGCAGGCATGGGTTGACGAAGACCTATTCTACCCCGGATTTTCACGGGTCTTCTTTCAAATGAGGAGCCGAGCAATTTAATATTTGACACATCCACCACGTCCAGTATATCCAACGAACAAGTCATTTTGTTGTAACACATGGGCCCCGTTCAACACATCGATCGTAGCGCTACGACTGCCGTAAGTCCATGTTAAAGTGTGGGAGCAACGATCGCTTTATGACAAAAGTCCCTGAGCAGATACGTGTATAATTTCTTTCCAGTTTTGTTCTGGAAAAAAGTATAATCACTATCTTTTCTTAAAAAAAAAAAAGGCCCCATCAAAAATATTAAAATATCACAATCCCTCACAAACTGGTGTGTGTTTATACAAGTTCCAAGTGTGGTATGCATGGGTTAAAGGCATGGTACATTGTACATCTGACTATACTTCAGATCATGGATATACCTGAAGCTGATGTTAAACGTCTTGGCCAAATTCCCTTGTTTTGATTTTGCCAAACTTTGAGTGTTAAATGTTGTGTGTGTAGAGGATTGACGTTTACATACATTTTATTACCGTTTTGTGGGACCATCATTTCCATAATATTAAATAAAATAATTCTACCATTGATACGTATATCATATCTTTTACTGCCACAAACAACGTAGAATATCAGTCAGCATTGGAAGCTTTACACATAGGAAAGGTGAAATGGGGTTTAACGTCGCGTCCAAGATTATTGCACTTATTTAGCGACGTGCATGTACGTGTGTGTGTATGTGTGGCTGCCTGTACTTGTCCGGACTGATGCCGATTTATAGTGCTAGCTCACTGAGATACCATGCCACAGTTTAACATGAATACCCCATTCAGACTCCGAGCCAACCAGTCCTTGTTTTAGCCCCTCAATGCCGAGCGCCAGACAGGGTAACAACAAGTACCATCTTTTTAAAGTCTTTTGGTATGACGCGTCCGGGGGTCGCTTTACAAACAGCTTTATGTTACATGTTCAAAATCTGAAAGTTCCTCTATGGTTTAACAACCACTAAAGATCCTTTGTGGAGGTACGATGTGCCTCTGTAATAGATGGAGCCACCCTTTGTCAATAAAAGATGCGCCAAACGCAAATGGTGCGTTTCAAGTGACGGATGTAGCTGGCGTGAGTGTGGCTGAAGAAGTAGGTCTGTCTGTAGAGGAAGGCGATATGTCTTCGATCTGTAATGCTTACGAATATGGTGAACGAACTTCTCACTGACCTGAAGTAGACGAAGTCGTTTGGTGTCTGAGATCTTTGAAACGCCCGATGACTTGTCGGAGGGTACGTGTAAGTGCGCAGTCCTTCAGAGATGGATAGCGCATCGTGATCCCACACCAGTGGGTCCGGCATGGGGGAGATGGACCTCGGTAGTGGAGAGTTGTATATTGTTACAAATAGATCGACTTATGACTTCCAGTAGACTAACATTTAGTCTCTGAAATCTTATATTACACAATATCCTTCTTGACTCTAAAAATAAAATAAAAATCCCTATGCCGATTTGTTGAATAGAGCGAGCTTGAGCTTGATTTTGTATGCGTTTCTAGATTTTTATTTTTTCATAAAATAAATATATTCCACGGTCATGGTGCAGGACTAGGCTTCCAGTAGAGCTGATATGTCCATCGAGAGATGTCCAGATGGACCTGGCACTACGTCGGAGATGGCTGTTCCGGTCGGGTCGTTGATGCTTGTCGAACATTGAAAGGTCTCTTGCTCCTAACGATCGTTGTGCTTCTCTACGTCCCCGGGACTCACAAACCGATACTCAGATCGATCCTATGTCGAACGATTGGCCGATGATTGGTTCGTCAAACCTCTAAGTAGATCTTGCAAAATGCCATCTTGATATGAAGCCATTCAAGGAAGTAGATACCATCTCCACAGAGTCGACTCCAAATCTAGATCACTGATGAGTGAGTGAGTGAGTTAATACTTTACGTCACATCGGCAATATTTCAGCCATATAGTGACAGATCACTGATGAGGTTTGGTTTAGGTCTGTCAAGAACGAGTCCAAACATTCTTCCAAGAAGAGTGATGGACCGGACCGTTGAAGCTATCTTCGCAGCCCCTTTCAACGAACCCAATCGGCAGCTTTTAACGTTGTTCTTTTCGCTTTCTTGGCAGCAGAAGGCCCATGTTCCTCAGCCTAAGTTAATGTGTATTGTTCATATAAAGTTATTTAATGGTCAAAAGATGTGTAAGTACCATCCATTATGTAGTTGCTATAACATATCACCTTTGTGAAAAACATAGAAAATGGAAACGTCAAAACTTTTCAAAACACACTTTTCCGCTAACGTAGTCGTGCTCAACAAAGCTCAGACTCGACTCTGATTTTTCTAGCGATTTACAATAACTTCCTTTATGTTGCAGATTTGTGTCGTGTGATTTCTTATTAAAGTCGTGTGAACGTTGCATCAATAGCAACCCATGCTTGCCGAAAAAGGCGACTAACCGGATCAATACTAAATTGCTCGGCTCCTCATTTCAAAGAAGACCCGTGACGATCCGGGGTACAATAGGTCTTCAGCAACCCATGCTTGCCGTAAAAGGCGACTATGCTTGTCGTAAGAGGTGACTAGCCTGATCAATATTAAATTGCTCGGCTCCTCATTTCAAAGAAGACCCAAATCCGTGAAGATCCGGGGTAGAATAGGTCTTCGTCAACCCATGCCTGCCATAAAAAGTGACTATGCTTGTCCTAAGAGGAGACAGGTCACCGTATCGCAATTGCGTAGATCGATGCTCATGATGTCAAACACTGGATCATCTGGTCCAGGATCGATTAATGACAGACCGCCATCATATAGCAGGAATATTGGCGTGAAACAAACATACATACAGGTATGGTCATAGATAATGGAATGATTAGCCAAGAAGAATGTTGGCCCGTTTTGGCTTCTTGGAAGTCCCAATGTTACCTTTGATGTCCATCCACCTGCTTCCTGGGTGTTTCGGATTCGAGACAGGAACGTTTCTCATCTCCATCACATAACTGCTCACAAGTACCTCATGCTAGCCACTAAAACTAGTGATTGGTGGTCACAATGACTGTAGGTTTTACAGAGTACTTGAATCATTGGGGAAGGTGAAATCTGAATTGTTTGTTTTATTCTAATCAGCAGTTCGGGTAAAGCATATTTGCAGTGACATATTCAGAGCAATGATACATACTATACAGATATGACACACAGCCAATGAAGTCAGCGAGCTGGACAACTCGATCGATTTCAGTCTGTGCTTCTGAAAAGCATGAGGTTCTGAGCCTTTTCCAACCTGGAATCCCCCTAGTCATAATCTCTTTGAATGTACCCAATTGCCTCTAGGATTTTTCCACTACACCCTCTGTAATTTTCTGCTATGATAGGCCTTATTAATTTTTCAAAATGAAACCCAAACCACTTTGCAGCACATCACATTCACTTCCTTGCTTCAGTCATTTCCCAACTATGTTACAGTTAGCAACTGCAGCGTGTTAATTCATCTAATATCACTGCCTAGCAAAGAAAATCTGTGATAACTGAAAATTGCACATGGATGATTATCCACAGATGTCGATTTGCTCTTCGAGCATCCATTATCTGAACAACAATAATGAGTGAGTATGGTTTTACGCCGCTTTTAGCAATATTCCAGCAATATCACGGCGGGGGACACCAGAAATGGGCTTTGAACAACAATAACAAGGGCAAGTTTTCCTCTCCAGTCAGCAGTATTCCAGCTACATCAGGAAAGTGTGGACCAGGCAAATCTGAGGGCAACAGTTCAACATGTTGAGCAAGATGAGCCACCAATCATTAGTCTTCTCTTAAAACAAGCATGGGGCACTGGGGTACCATTTAAGTCCAAAATGCCCATTTGATCTAATGATGTGAGATGAAATGGGATTTAATGTTGCGTCCAAGATTATTGCACATATATAGTGACTTGTGTGCGAGTGTGTGCATTTATCTGTGTCTGTTTGCTTGTGTCTACTCTGGACTGATGCCGATTAAGCGTGCTAGCTCATTGAGATACCCTGCCACAGTTTAACATGAATACCCTACTCAGACACAGTATACTGACCAGTCCTTGTTTTAGCCCCTTAATGCCCAGCGCCAGACAGGGTAACAGCAAGTACCATCTTATAACATCTTTTAGTATAAAAAAAAAAGGGATCGAACCCTGGACCTTCTGCTCTCCAGGCGCACACTCTACCACCAGACAACAGAGGTGGTCTAGGGACCCAATGACATAAACACAAATCTTTTTCCTTTTTTTTTAATGTCCACAGCTTTTTACAGTTTGCTTTACTTTTCCTTCTCAGCAGCCTCCCTCTTCTTCTTTTCACGCTTCCCGAACAGCCTGGCGTTGACGCGAGCACTACGCAGAGCGGCGAAGGGACTGAATCTCTTCTCTCTCTTGCTGATCTTGCGAGCCTTCTCACTTCTGTGCACCTGTCTGATGGGCATGATGTCTCCCTTGAGTTGGGTGGCTGTCTTGATCTGTTCAGCCTTTAACACAAACATCAACTCATTCACAAACAAGAACTCAACAAGAACTACCTAGAATCTGGTACATACATTTTTTTATAGCTACTCGATAAATCGCAAATAACAATAAAGAACGATAATTGTTTTGAGTATGTTTGAGAATTAAACTTAATACTCATTTTTCATTATTTTGAAGTTTATGAGTATATTCAGGATATGCAAAACTTAACACCCCATTCATAAAATAGACTGTACATAACGATGACATCTTGTGTAAGAAATAAAAGACTTTAATTGTCTAACGTTCAATGAAACACTGCAGGGAGAATAAACCACTCAGGTGATAAATAGTTCACTTGCAGAAGTGATGAAAGAATCGAATAAAGTCACTGAATATAAATAGCTCATTGGCATCCTTAGCCTTGGCATAATCTGATAGAAAATACAAACAAATATTGTTTGAAGAACAGGATATCTAGTACTGCTGAAATGCCAATTCAACCAAATAATATGGTTGATGGTTGTTATATTCTTGTTTAATATATTAGTGTTCATATCAGTCGATGAACGTCTCGTCCATAATATTACTTACAGGCCGCAGTCAATGCCAGTTATATAATAGCTGGAATATTACTTTGTGCGAAATTGTACGAAAAAAAATATTTAAAAAATCCAAACTATTTCCAGACTGACCGTTGCATCTCCCTTCTTGGGTTTGCTTTCCTTGCGTGGGAAGAGGATAAGTTTGGAGTTGTACTCCTTCAGACGCTGCACATTCTGCTGCAGAGATTCCACCGTCTTGTTGCGACGACGGAAGTCAACTGAAATACCAATGGATCTGGCTTGCCTCTTGTTGATACCGGCTTGCTGTAAATAAGAGTCAAAAACTATTACACAAAACAAAAGCCAAAATTACATGATTACTGGCAAAATTTACATTATGGTCTACATAACTAAGATTATTCTTGGGAAGAGAGCAAGTTTATTATGTTTCTGCACCACTAGGAGAGGTGATATGGGGTTTAACATCGTGGTTAGGATAATTGCACTAATATAGCAATGTGTATGTGTGTACGTGTGGCTGCTTGTACTAGTCCGGACAAATGCTGATTTCATAACTTGCTAACCCACTCAGATACCATGCAAATGTTTAACATCAATACCCCAACCAGATAGTTTTCTGACTCCAAGCCAAACAGTTCTATGACAGATGGCTTATGCACCACAGATAAGAGCACATGCAAGTATCGTGACCGTGAGTAAGGTATCGTGATATGTATCGGATCACACAGTTGGTGTATCGTCCCAGCCCCAGTGAAGAGTAAATCTAGTGTTTGTTTGTTGTTTAACGCCGCACTCAGCAATATTCCAGCAATATGACGGCCGTTGGTAAATTATCGAGGCTGGACCAGACAATCCAGTGATTGATATCATGACCATCGATCCACACAATTGGGATCGATGACATGCTTCAACCAAGTCAGCGGCCCTGACCACCCAATCCTGTTAGTCGCCTCTTGCAACAAGCATAGTCGCATTTTACAGCAAGCATGGGATGCTGAAGACCTATTCTACCCTGGATCTTCACGGGTCTCTAGATCTGGTGAATCTGGTTTTACACTACTTGTACTGTTGTAGCACTGTCACCATGGTCACAGCAGGGCCAACCATGGGGTATTGAGCACCTGAATTGTTGAACTTGAACTTGCAAAATACATGTATCAAAAGGCTTGCACAACTTTTTTTCTACATCTACAACATAATGTGTTTTGTTGTCTAATGCCAAACACAAAGGTGTAATAGTATTAGCATGAAAACTAACTGCAGCCAGTGGATACTTGATGTAAAGCTCACTCTCAAACAGGGAAAGAAACACCTTAAGACATGCTGACACACTGAAAACACTAGACAAAACTTTTGAAAAGTTAACTGGAAGCCTGATGATCAAATAAACAATGTTTTATAAGATTTATATGGATCAATCTTGTATATGTAGGATATGGTTGCCCAGAGTGTCAAAGACTATTTTGACAACTAGCCCGAACTTGGATATTAGCATCATTTTCAGTAGTGTTATTATGTGGACTAGTATTAGCTGAGTTTACTAGAATGAACAGAATTTTACAAGACTCAGTGGCTAAAGTGGTTTGTTTGTCACATGCCATAGACAGCACTATTCCAGCTATACTAGTCATATAATCTGACTATGTCATCGTGTGCTCCACATTATCATGGTATAAGAAAATCTTGCAATCCACACCCTCAGTCGACTGTTGACTTATGCAAATCCAAGCACAATATTTCTTCAATTGATCACATACAGGACTCATTGCGGTATATCACAGCTACTCAGAGGTTAACACATCAACCTTTTAAAAATAGTTTATGGAATGTTTTTGAATGGAATTACCCCTACCTCCATTCAAAATTGGTTAGAAAAGAACCAATTTGTTTGGACAATGTCCCTTGACCCAAACTCGGTCCGAATATTCTGCGATAATATACAGTTGCCCGCCCTTGAGTCGCTCATGGCAGATACTTTGTTTACCAATATCACTAAAGAAAATCAACATCAACCAATCCAAATTGATGGTCATAACGGTTGAAGAAATAAAAGAAACATTTTGCGTATGACATATTAATAGGTTTGTGAGCGTGTGCCATTACAATCTATCATAAATTAACTACTGCGATAATATAGCATACCATGCTACAACAGAGCCTGAGAGGCCTGCTTATAATCGAGTCTGGATAAAGCAGACCAGTGCCTGATACTGTGGGCAATGACCTGTGATGTCAGTGTACAATATATCAACCAAGTCAGAGTCTGACCAACTGATCTATTTGGTTGCCTCTTATGTTCGGCAGAGGTTGCTGCCAAATTGCCAGTGACCAATTCTAAGGGGGAATCACATAAGGGGCCTACAATATGAAAACAACAGGTTACCTTCAGTTCTTCAAGAGTAAATCCACGACCAGCCCTGATTTTAGTGTTGTATTTGAAGGTTTGGCATCGTGCAATTGGGCGCAGATAACCTTTGACAGGGCGAGGGGCAATGGCACGAGCTTTCTGCACACGTGTATCTTGTCTCCTCTGTTTTCTCATTGGCTGGTTGAACCATGTCCTAACACGGCGCTGCCAGTCCTTGTGGAAGTGCCCATTGGGCACCATGTTGTTCCCTTTTGGAGCCATGATTGCTGTGAAAGAAAATGATTTCATTTGTCATTTACTTCCAAACCTTTCATTTTTGGGATAGATCTTGATTACTCATTGCTAATATGTTACAAATCACTTATTGTCAGATTGGCAACTGATACAGGGTTAGAAATGGCAACTTGTCCATTTGTCCGAGACTAGTGAAAATATAACAGATTAGTTTTCAACAAAAATCTAGTTTTTTTACATTAACCACTAGTTGGAAACCAGCTTTGGACTAGTTGGATATGACAAATGGTCTCAAGACCTGTGATACGGGATGTGCAATGTGAATATCATACTACTTTTCATATAGATATGGACTCAAACACTTCCTTTTCATGTATTACTTACACCAAACTGAAACATTCTGATAATAATTTTAATAGATGTGTTGTCCATTGTTCAGCACATACATCCTATCATTTACTGGTATTCAGAAGTTCTGACAAACATTGTTCATCCTTTGCAAAGTTTGCACCTGCCAGTGCAATAATCCTATGTGCTCAGAGCTCCAGATAAGCTGCGTATCTGCGTGAAATACGCATCAGAAAGGCAGAAATATGCAGTAAAATAAAATCCAAGCGCACGCAACGAACATTACAGATACGCTACAAAAATAAAACTTGTGCGTATCATCAAAATATTGTGAAGTAACCCTGCGTATTCGATTAGCAAATCAGCAACTTATTTTGAAATTTCTTGGGGAAGTATCGTGGTATTTTTGAGTCCTATAAAGCTCTAGAACCCACACGGCACCAGTTTGCAGGAACTAGATGAATAGTGTTTTAAAATATTTAACTTAAATACCCACATGTGTAAAAACTAGTGGGTAACAGAAATTTGAATACCCAGATAGAATTACTGATACCCAATGATTTTAAAAAGCATGGGTAAAGTACCCACAATACCAAAAGCTTATCTGGAGATCTGGTGCTGCAAATAACATTTATCAAGGTTGGAAATTGTTTCAATATTGATCATAGGAGATGAAAAACAAATTGAGGATAATATGTTAATCAATCATTATATTGGAACAGGCACTTTTAGCATGTTCAGTTTCAATCACTTAAATCAAAATAAATAAAACAAGTTTTTTAAAATAACATATTGCAATACACTGCTGGCTATGCAACACAAACAACTATGTGGAAATATGGCAATAGCTAAAGATGTTCAATGTTTTTCATATTTAAAGGAATTTAGGTCACAGACTTCATGATTGATGGCTTGGTGGGAAATTGCAGAGGTACATTTCACAAAAGCAAAATAATACAAGCATAAAAAACTACTTTTAGCCACTGCCAATGTGTGATATTTGATTCAATAAGGTGCTTCTTTGGGTATGCGAAAGTTATCAATATGTTATTGTCATATAGAAAACTCACTTCACAAAACATACAAAAGTTTGAAAGAACTTGAATGCTCACTAGTTACAAAGTCCATACAAAAGCAACTTATGACTTAATTTTTTTCAAAAGTATATTCATACAAACATTATGAATGTATGTTACTATTTGTGTCTTTCTTCATGCAAATTAATACTTTTTTGAGGGGGAAAAAATGTAAAAACAGGCCAAACTGAATTTCTACACAGAGTTATGGGAATTGAATTGCCGCGTGGGCAAGAGACCACCCTAACTGTTTACGTTTCCATATTTTGAAAAGAATATATGAATATTTGACAAAATCACTTATAAATGATGCCGATTATCTGGAATTGTTTTGAAGACATGATATATAGCCTTTGAGTGCAAGCTTGCATGGAACAAACTTGCATTCTTAGATAATCTAAGTCATTTATTTACTGTACTAAGTGGTAGAAACGAGTCATGAGTCCTTATAACAGAGCAAAACCCTAATAGTAGTTTGTTGGTTTGTTGTTTTACGCCACACACAGCAGTCTGTAAATAATCAAGTCTGGACCAAACAATCCAGTGATTGATATCATGAGCATCAATCCACGCAATATTGGGATCGATGACATGCTCCAACCAAGTCATAGATTCTGACCACCTGATCCCGTTAGTCGCCTCTTACAAGCATAGTCGCCGGTAAATTTGTACTAGTCCTTGTGATACCTTAACTATTGGGCTGTTTGGCAAGGACCACAGGGCTAGTGCCAATTTCTACCGCTAACCTCGGTACTAGAGTTTACTCATGTTATTAGGACACGGTTATGATATTGTTCACATAAGGACTGCAAATTGTCAGACTCAGCTGTTTTCGAACTTTATTGGAGCGAGTTGGCTGGTTACAGTTGACAGATTCACCCAAATCACGAAGAAACATATATAAAAATATAATAGAGTCAAAGACTTTTCTGTTCATTACAGCTAACATGCATTTAAACCGACACTTTTACACGAAGGCATAAACATAAATACCGTGGAGTCACATCAACTCAAGTTCGATTTTACACATTCATATGATAGATATCGTGTAAATATCAACACAGACAAATCGTGTTGGTATTTCTTAACATGTATGCGGTGGTAATTATGGTTAGATGTTTATGATGCTTTTGTTTTAACACGATTTCATTCAGGTATATAACACGCACCTGACTCGCTACGGTTCTAGACCGGAAAAGGAAGTTGTGAAGACCGATAGGGGGCGCAACTATTGCGGTTACTTCAAAAACTGGAATGAGTTGGAAAAAGTTTGTTTACTGTTCGATAAGCATGACAGACAAGAATCTGTGGTGAGAAATAAAACACATGACAGTTAAGAAGGGCATGCGCATATCTTACACCGAGACCGTCGATTAGCTAAGTTTTCAAAAGTATTTATGTTAATTCCTAAATAACATCCAGTTAGAACATCGGTCAGAAACATCACTTTAGTGTGGAACATCACCATGACACTGCGATATTTAGCGTTCAAGCAGGAACCGTTACAATATTTTTCTGCTGCATCTGAAAATATCCACTTACATTTGATCTTTAGAATTCTTTAAAAGTAACATGACAGTTGTCAAAAAGTATGTTCTTTCATTTTTGGCCATTTCTCAATCTCATTTCATTGAAAAATATTGTTTGGTAAGATTGGTACCTCATGACAACACTAGTGAGTAGTTTGCACTAATAAACTCATTCACTGATGATTATTACACGAAATAAAATACAGATGGCATGGAGCTTTTTCCACAAGAGAATCTCTCATATTCAGGTTAATTAGTTGTAGGATATATATTGCTGCAGACACAATGTCAGTTTAACTTGGCCACATAACTCGGTTGTGATGAGGCTAAAATATCACCACATAAAAACGGCTCCAAATTGGCCTCTCAAAAGTGACACAATGCTGTTTAAGCTATAACCAGCTCGTAATGCCAAGTAAATATTTTAGGCAGATCACACAACACAAGACAACTTCTAGAACATTTCTGAATCTCTACAAGCAGTTTCTAGCTTTTGCACAACTATTCTAGATGTGTTTCAACATATCACAGACATGAATATCAGCCAAGTAAAAGCAACAAGAATGAGATTATTAAGTCATAAAACTGTTGCAATTATCTTAATGTTTGATTCATTATTTTTCAGATCATATTAAAGGACCAAACATCATATGCACTTGACCCAAAATGTCTTTCACAATAATCCATTTCAATGATGTGTACAACATAGAGCCTCAGTCTGACGAGCCACTAGGGGGCGCTGCTCGTTTTGCGGGATATGTGGCCATGTGTAAAGAACAGCATCCTTTAGTCCTCTTCAGTGGTGATGCCCTCAACCCATCACTCAGTGAGTGACTTTAATACATTAATTGTGTAATCATGGCACGAAACTAACCCAATGTCAGGGTTTTATCTAGATATCCTCAATTGCCTATATTCGACCTCAAGTTCAGTAAAAATTCACAAATGGATTTGAATATTTCCCAATTCATCATGTTCATGCTGTTATAACAAATGTTTTGTTTTTGTTTGTTTGTTGTTTAACGCTGCACTCAGCAATGTTCCAGCTATATGATGGTGGTCTGTAAATAATCGTGTCTGGACCAGACAATCCAGTGACTGACATCATGAGCATTGATCCACACAATTGGGATACGATGGCATGTCAAACAAATTAATATTCATGCTTTTACAGAAGAACTCTGGTTATGTTGCAGTGAGCATCTTCTTGAAAGGAGAGCAGATGCTGCCCGTCCTGAATGGTGTGGGAGTCAATTGTGCTGTCTATGGCAACCATGACTTTGGTAAGGAATTTTCATTATGTTTGTTTGTAATGGTGACATGGCTCAGGTCAATTGACAGTCATAGCAAGTTTGATGGAAGTCATTAAAATTCACCTGAACCAACTTTCTCGATATTTCCGGTATGGTGAACATGGGTAGACTCCCTTGGTCAAATCTAGCTAGTCTGCCGATCATTTTGAACTAGTGGTTTATACATATAATATAACTATATTTTTGGAGAAAACAACTGGTCCGTCTGGATTTTCATCAGTTGGGGCTAACTGACTTGTGCCTTTGTCTGTCCCTGCTGGAAAGGGGTGTCAGACCATGCAACATAGTCCTATTTGATGTCCAGATCTTATATGTGTACCCCCGATCCCCGATTCCATGTATTGCCATGCATGAGGTCCCTTGACTGAGCTATATGGAGTTATCTCCCCTAGTTTGAAAGCTCGGTAGAACCACATATTTGTCTTTACAAACCTTGGACTCCTGGCATCAAACTGTGTACATGGGTTTCTTATAAAACCTACCTAAGTGATATGACCAAAATACTCTAAAAGAGCTACTTTAAATCTTGAAATTAATATGTGAGTGAATTAAATGCGAAAATGCAAATGGTGCTTGCTTGCATTAATTAAACTTTGCATTTATGTCTCAAAATGTCTGTTGACAATAAGGCCGCACTGCACATATTGGACAGTGGAAATACCAGCTTGAATATAGAAACAAACAATTATCTATTCCACATCACGGTTTATTGGGCAACAGTTACAACAAACACTAGAAATTTTCATAATGGACATCTGGTAAGTTATCATTGCTGGGGTCAAGAATTGAGTACTCCAGCAAGTCCAGACAGATGCCACCCTTGCAACAGTGTATTTTGGAGACTGCATCAAGGGCCGATATGACCCAGTGCGTATGAATAGGCTTCATCACACTTATCCTCACATCTACAGCCTTTGTCTTTTCATCTGCCTTCAAGTTTGTTGGCACCTTCTCAGCTTACAGAATAAAATAAACATATAATCTATGTGTTGTTTTTAGGGAAGTACTCTACTCAGCGCCAATCAGCGGTGCTATTGTTATTTGATTGAGGTAATGCTGGATTACTGGGGCTGGAGAGAAGTCACATTAATATTTTTTGCTCGGAGCCAGTAGTCGCATTAATTTGGAGATGCATTAATTTCAAGATTTACAGTATGTGTTAAAATTTGTAACCTCGCTTTGTTAGATTTATGATATCAAATGTGATGTCAGTGAATAAATGCTTGTTGATCATGACAAGGATGTCCTTTGTTTCAGATTTTGGTGTGGACCATTTAGAGGATTTTGCTGAGCAGTCATCATTTCCATGGTTACTTAGCAATGTCAAGGACAATCTGGCAGAGGAACCACTAGCATTAGGAGAAGTAGCGCACAGCTTGGTGTGGAATGACATAAAGGTAGTGTTTACCATTTATCAGATTCTTAGCCCTCTGGATACTTTTGAAAATTGTGTATTCTACCTCATGTAAATACTTTTGGAAAAATGACATTTGGTGACAGACCTGAAATGAACTTTTGGCTTGTTTAACACCTCACTCAGCAATATTCCAGCTGTATGATGATGGTCTGTAAATATGTAAGTCTGGGCCAGACAATCCAATGATTGACATTATGAGCATTGATCCCTTTGATTTAGGATACGATAACAGACCTGGAATTATTTTTTTGGGTTGTTTAAGCCCACACAAAGCAATATTCCAGCTATATGATGGCGGTCTGTAAATAATTTAGTCTGGACCAGACAATCCAGAGATTGACATTATGAGCATCAATCCATTCAGTTGGGCAGGCCTCAAAGTTACGACTAAAACCGATGCCAACACGACCTAAATTTCAGTTTGTCTACTGTCTAAAATTCAGAGGTAGCCAAATGACTACCTTAAAAAATTTCTTGTGGCAACTTAATTCTATTAAGTAGACACAAAAATAAATAACAGCTGATCTTGGAAAACACGTCTGCTTATAATTGTACTTGCAAATAATTCCTCCTAAAGTCGACAATGAACCGAAATACATAAATATTAATGTAATAAGTACTTTATTTTAGTTGACAATGCTCATTGGATAAGCAAGGATATACCTGTATGATCTAGTAACATAAATTGCATCATTGTTCGTCATGTTTGAGTCGAAAGTAACAAAAATCAAGTACAGTTTTCACTAATATACAGTTCAAAGACTAGTGCTATAACTTGTACATATTATAATAGTTATTTGATAAAAGATAATTTCAAATGCTTTTGGCTACCTACAATATTGGCTTGACTTCTTGATTTTTCCACTGGCTACCTGGGAAAAAATACTTGTAGCCATATGGCTACTTGGTAAAAATTTTAACTTTGAGGCCTGTTGGGATACGATGACATGCAATCAAGCAAGTCAGCAAGCCTGACAACCTGATCCATTTAATCACCTCTTTCGACAAGCATATTCGACCTGTGCTCTTATTCATAATCACTCGTAGCAAATGGAGGGGCGGTCGGGTAGCCTTGTGGTTAAAGCGTTCGCTCGTCACGCCGAAGACCCGGGTTGGGTACAAGAATCCTGACATGGGTACAATGTGTAAAGCCCATTTCTGGTGTTCCCCGCCATGATATTGCTGGAATATTGCTAAAAGCAACGTAAAACCAAACTCACTCACTCACTCACTCACTGTAGCAAATGGCTGCAAGATTGTTGATGTGATGTCAAGCAATAATCACTCGCTCACTTACTCGGAATACACACAGGTTCTCGACTTAGCTACACAAATGGCAGTGTAGAGCATATGTTCATTTAACCTACCCAGCTCCTTCTACACTAAGCATGTTTAGTGCTCTAAAAGCGAGGGGCCTATGACTTAATGTTACTTGGGCGGTCGGGTAGCCTAGTGGTTAAAGCGTTTGCTCGTCACGCCGAAGACCCGGGTTCGATTCCCGACATGGGTACAATGTGTGAAGCCCATTTCTGGTGTCCCCCGTCGTGATATTGCTGGAATATTGCTAAAAGCGGCGCAAAACCACACTCACTCACTCACCTTAATGTTACTTAAACACTTGTATCACTTTAAACACTGATTACATTATTTCTATTTTGATAGTTGATTATTGGCTGATGTAAGGATAAGATATATGTTTATCCATACATCGTATCCTTGCTTAGAACTCTCAACTTCTACATGCCTCTCAAACAAGACATTTTCTGATGATTATAAAGGGACATAACTCTGACCTGTTCCAGATTGGCTTTGTTGGTTTGGTGGAGGAGGAGTGGATAGAGACACTGGCGACCCTTGACCCCGAGGATGTCACATACCTAGACTTTGTCACCGAGGGTCAGAGACTCGCCAGCCTCCTAAAGAAAGAGGTGGGTGGGGGTCACAGAACATTCATCTTCCTTGGAAAACCGACCATCAACCTAAATATTAACTATCGAGTCTCATTAAGAATAGATCTTTTATGCCAATACCATACCTCCCTGAATGTGGTGGCACGTGGTACTGTGCACAGTGCACAGGTCACAAATCAGGTGAAGTAAAGCAAGGTCAGTCGCGGAGAGCCCTTGGATGGGTGACCAAGCTTGGCTCCTGAGAGTTTTTACTATTTTAGGGCTTTGGTCCCCTCCCACACTGAAGCACATGTAACACATGTGGCCTCTCCTTGGGCAAGGGACTTTGTTCGAAAATGTGCCTCTGTTCACCCAGCCATGAATGGGTACCCGGTAGGATGAGATGACAATGTGGTTGTTAACCTAACCTTACAGGCAGCTTGGGTTGTATACTCCCCATGGAGCTGAGAATGATTGTTGAGTGCAAACTGATCCAGTGACCGGGGTAATAATAACACTTTGAGCATGGTCCTGAGTGGTGTTGAAATACTAGCAATATAAAAAATAGCCTATTATGAATGAAAACACCACCTCCAGAGGACGTGGGTCAAGTGAACACTGAGCAAACTTTGACCATCCAATCAAAATACAGGATGTGTGGGTTCTTGAGGCAATCAGATGTCAACTTTCTAAAACAAGTCCGCTACATTTGTTTCCCACCTCATTTTGAAGATTTAGATTTTAACAAAAGAAACACGCAGAACACAACTGTTCCTTCCTTCAATGGTCCTCTCTTTTGGGTGTAGATGCCTTGGTATTCAGAAACATCGGATGCAGCCTTTATTGTCTACATTTGCTGGTGACCCGTGAAGATCCGGGGTAGAGTAGGTCTGCAGCAACCCGTACTTGCGATAAAAGGCGACTATGCTTGTCGTAAGAGGCGACTAACGGGATCGTGTGCTCAGGCTCACTGACTTGGTTGATGCATGTCATCGTATCCCAATTGCGTGGATCGATGCTCATGATGTCAATCACTGGATTGTTTGGTCATGACTTGATTATTTACAGACTGCCGTCATATAGCTGGAATATTGCTGAGTTCGGCGTTAAACAACAAACAACAAACAAACATAAGCTGGTCTGAATGCTTTGCTCACTTGCAGCAAACATTATAAGCCTTGACATTGCTTGGCTGATTAGAAAGTTCACCTGACATCTTCATGCAGAGAGCCATCATATCGGAGTAAAAGATCTGATTTTACTGAGATTGTGACTAATCAAAAATCATTTAAAATAATTTTGAGGTCCTCCTGTCACAGGCTTTTAACTTTTCTTTTTGATGTATGACGTATGTCTCTGGGGCAGCAAGCATGTGTGATTTATTCTTTGAGATACGTCTACATTCAGGGAAAATGCTGTTTGACAGCACTGACATTATGAGAGTTCTGAATCGTTCTTAACCATGTCAGTTAGGATGGTTTCCATAACACTTTCTCAGGGCTGTATGTTGAACTATGAGACACATCAGCCAATATTTCCAGAATGCATTTGATGGTCATTACTAGTCTCCATTACAAATAGTGGTGAGTGTATACTACTCAAAAGAAGTTCAGGATCACCTGATTCTTTCTATTTACTATAGTTAATCTCTCATGTCATGACAGATTAACTTCACCATTATGAAAGAATCGGGTGATCCTTAACTTCTTTTGAGTAGTATATGATAGCTTCTTCATATTAACTGTAAGTCATGTTAGAGCTTGCCAAAGATTATTTTATTGCGAGCGTAATCAAAGTAAACGTCAAATTGTGACAATGTCTAAGAATATTTTACATATTATTATTTGTTGTGTTATTTGTCTGTGAATCACTTTTCCAGCAAGGCTGTGACATGGTAATAGCACTGACCCACATGCGATGGCCAAATGACCGCCGGCTGGCAGAAAGTGTTCCAGATATAGACATCATCCTGGGAGGCCATGACCACGACTATGGAGTAGAGATGGTAAACACACTGCATTGCTGAATATCCCTGGGGAGATCATGTGAGGATAGACCATCTCCATGGCCTAGTGGCCGGAGAGTGGAAGGTCCGGGGTTCGATCCCTGTACGCATCACGGTTACCAAAAGACGTTAAAAAATGGTTCTTGTTGTTACCCTGTCTGGTTCTCAGGATTTAGGAGCTAAAACAAGGACTGGTCGCCTTGGAGTCAGTAATATGGTATTGCTCCCAGACCTGGCGGGTGGCTGGATGCGTGGAAGCTATGCCCAATTTTTTAAAAGTACTGATTTAATTTCGAAATTTTAATTATTGAACAATGGGATGGTGTGAATGTTGTCCAAACTGCACGAAATTGCTTAAAATGCAATCAAATGTTTAATGTCTGGCATGCCCCCAGACCCCCCTACAGTTTTCCTCTTCTTTTTTTTAAAAGCTGCTTACATCCCTGCAGTTAACTGAACTCTCATGCCTTCGGGAAGATGTACACTATTGCTTGTTTGATTGTGTGACGTTCTTCCCCTATGAGGTGGGACGTTACTCATGGACCTGTGAAGATCCGGGTAGGGAATAGGTCTTCAGCAACTCATGCTTGCCGTAAAGAGGTGACTATGCTTGTCGTATGTGATGAAATATATAAATATACAGAAAAATCTTTGTCAGGAATTTTTTCTATCATGCTAGTTATAGCAGGGCGTGGAGTCATCCCACAGAAGACATCCTTACCTTGTCAGCTTGCTGACGGGGTTAACCTCTTTGGTCATGTGGACAAGGTGTCCGACCTCGGATCAGAAGGTCTGTGTTTCGAATCCTATCACGGGACTCGGAAATTTTATGGCCGCTACATTGGCGCCCAACGTGGGGCTGAGCACGTTCATATTAAATTTGAGCAAAATAAGCCTGGGGTTAACCTCTTTGGTCATGTGAACAGATCAGATGAGAAGGTCCTTGGTTCGAATGCCATCACGGGACTCGGAAATTTTATGGCCGCTACACTAGCATGCAACACTCTCTGTTGTACAGGTGAACAACACGTACATTGTGAAGAGTGGTACTGACTTCCGGAATCTCAGCAACATCAAGGTGACGAGGACAGGAGATGGGTGGGAGTTCGACATCCAGAGAGTGGATCTAGACTCTAGTATACCTGAAGATCCCCTCATGAAGGAGATTGTGGATAGTAAACTTGGTGAGTTGATAGTCGGATGAGAGTTTGAGACATCCAGAGAATTTATGGATGAACAACTTCTTAATTACAATTAAGAGCAATGTTTCGGTGTAGGTTCTAACACCGTCATTCAGCAAGTGATATACAGAGTGTAGTAAGCAAGTATATATACAAGTAGGAGGCAATGTTTACAGTAGAGTAGATATTGTGATACTGGAGTAGAGAAGCCTGTTATGTACACACAAGGGTAGTGATGACAATCATCGGTGAAGTCAGTGACATAAACAAAGGATGAAGCCAGTAATAAGCTGCTGCTTATATTACTGGCTTCATCCTACATTCGGACTACTTCCACATTCCTGTTGAAACCCCTGGGAATTCCCTTGCATGAATACATACAAAAGCATTGTTTCTGATCATTTAGACCCTATAATCTTGAATTCAGCTTACATTGAGAAATGTCAGAGAGTTTGACTGCGTGACTATTTACCAATATCCTCGCTACGACCCATAGTGAACAAAACATAGAAATGCACATCCACTATTTTAGTATTGACTCGGTCCGTGTCTAGACTGACAGTTACAGTCCACAGCAATCTATGAAATTACCTTAGTATGTATTTGTCACATCTTTATTATCACCTTTCAATGATCGGCCAACTGATCAATGATGACTAACACATGTAACCGCCACAAGTTCATTAACAACTTCCGTAATCAATCCTGTCACGTTTATCGTGCCGGCCATATTGACATCTTGTATTTGATGTGAATGTATTACAACTCACTGTCATTGTGACTGACTTACCTGTGTAGTTCTTAACAGACCTTTCTCACCCAAAGATGGTATTATTTGAATGCATTTCTTGTAAACAAACTACAACAGATTTGCTTGATAAACAAGTTGAGCATACATACACTCATGGCACCTCTCTCTTTGGGGAACTATTTTATCTCCGCGATACAGCTGGTTGTTGTATGGCTGTCAGTGTAAACAAGTCACATGTATAGATTTAGGGCGACATCCCCCGAGATATAAAAAAGTGCTATAAAAATTATAAGAATTAACTTTCATATTTGTGTGAGTTCATTGGGAGTAGGAGCCTTCATATAGTGAGGGCCACAGATTGTATGACTGTCGTCGCATGCGCCGACGTTCATACAGTGTGGCCATCAGTCTTTGAAGATTCATACTCCAAAGTGAAAGTCAATTCTTAATTAAACCTCCCGCTTTGGATGCTCTATTGAAAATAATTCTATTGCCACTTAATCAGCCTTGTGGTTTAAGTGTTCGCTCGCCATACCTAAGATCAGGGTTTGTTTCCCACATGGGTACAATGTGTGAAGACCATTTCTGGTGTCCCCCACCATGATATTGCTGGATTATTGCTAAAAGTGGCATCAAAACTAACTAACAAACGAACGAACGAACGAACGAACGAACGACTGACGAACGAACGAACGAACGAACGAAGGCACGCACGCACGCACGCACGCACGCACGCACGCACGCACGCAACAACAGGTACATTTCTTTTGCATACTTTAAGTTTCTGTTTTGCTGTTTGTTTTCCAATGATTAAGAATTTGATGTATAATTTTACAAACATCTAAAATGTCAGGCTCAATTCTGAGTAAAAGAATTGTGCTGGTTTGGGGATATATATTCATTGTGGGATGTTATTTGTTGGTCTGTGCCACCAAGTAAAGCTTTTATTGCTTAACAAATGCTTAAGGAGAGATGGGGTCTCGTACTGGTGAAACTGTTGACGCATCATTGCCTCTGTTTCATCATGAGTTTCCCTTACTGTGACGTGGCTTGAATACTGTTAAAAATGTTGAAGGACCATACTCACTCACTGTTACCATTTCTTCAGAGGCTGTGGGGTCCAGGATGGATGAGGAGCTGGGGGAGATGGCTGTGGAGATGGATGGCCGATTCCAGAATATACGTACCCAGGAGACTAATCTAGGTGAGTAGAGTTATCTCCTCTTATTATTACAGGATAGTTTGACTGATAGATGTCTATCACTGTACTTTGTTCAAGATACACTGCTTTTGTGTATGATGTTCCTCTTATTTTCTGTCTTCCAAGGCAACCGTGTCCACTAGCCTATATCAAAGCCTAGTTTCTACCCTTGCCACAACAGGATAGTTTGACTGTTAGATGTCTATCACTGTACTTTGTTCAAGATACACTGCTTTTGTGTATGATGTTCCTCTTATTTTCTGTCTTCCGAGGCAAGCGTGTCCACTAGCTTATATCAAAGTCTAGTTTCTACCCTTGCCACACCAAGGCCACTTTTCTTGGCTCGACCCTGGAACCACCTTGCTTAGTTCACGAGTTGAGCCCTTTGTAATGAAAACGCGATATCCAATCAGATTGCTGTTCTTATCTCGTATAGCTTCACAAAAACATAGGCAATCGTTGGGGGTTTAAAAGATGAAAAAGACATATTCCAGTAGAAAGTCACTTTCATACGAAGGTGTACCAGTCGTGGATGTTGATTTTGTGAAACATTCTCTGATTGGACTATGGATATGTGCGATAGTCCAATCATATTTAGCACAGGAAAGTGGGCTTGATGTGGCAAGGGTGGAAACAAGACTTTGATAAAAAGGCTAGTGGATGCTCTTGCCTCAGGAAGATGCTTATTTTCAGCTACGATCACTTTGTGAAATAGGGACAAGTGTATCCTTGGTATCCAAATGTTCTATCATCTACAAACTTGATGTTATGAGTAGCATACTCGTACCTGTGATGATTCCAGGTTAGAATTGGTCCTCGGTAACCCATGCTTGTTGTAAGAGGCGACTAATGGTATCGTGTGGTCAGGCTCGCTGGCTTGGTTGATGCATGTCATTTATCCCAATTGTGTAGATTGATGCTCATGATGTCAGTCACTGGATTGTCTGGGCCATGATTATTTACTGACCCCCACCATGTAGCTGGAATAGTGCGGCGCTAAACAACAAACAACAAACAAAAGAAAACTAAGAGCAGCAGAGAAATGAACTTTTAATCACAGACTTTTCAGTATGTCATATTTCAGTTCACAAAATAGTAGGTTGAAATTGACTATGTCCTCTTTTATGTGTAGTATATGCCAGTAGTATGCTTATTCTGTTTATTTGTTTCCCAGCACAACACATTTTTGGGGACACTCAATAAAGTGGTATGATTTTGTATGTTTCTGCACATTTATTGCTAAACACTTGTGCAAGGAGATATTTTTGGTCACTGTCTGTTTTATGTCTAACAATTGTTTGCAGGGTAGTTTTTGATGTAGAATTTTGAAATGTTGTGATTAACTAACAGCACCTTTGACAGTTTGACCTTTTTGAGTGGCTGCTTGTGTCAGCTGTCACACTGTCACACTGTCCAGCAGTGAAATTTAATGAAAATAGAAAATCATACCAAATAATTAAAACTAGGAAAGAATGCTGTGGTGTATGGGTTACTGTGTACACCCAAAAAATGTTTTCAGTTCCCTTGGCGATAGTGGTGTTTGTACTTAATAGACCTGTGAAGATCCGGGGTAGAATAGGTCTTCAGCAACTCATGCTTGCCGTAAATGGCCACTAGGCTTGTCGTAAGAGGCGACTAACAGGATCAGGTGGTCAGCCTTGCTGACTTGGTTAATGCATGTCATCGTATCCCAATTGCGTAGATCCATGCTCATGTTGTCAATCACTAGATTGTCTGGTCCATATTCAATAATTTACATACCGCCGTCATACAGATGGAATATTTCTGAGTGTGGCGTTAAACAATAAACAAACACATGGTTTCATGCTATATTCACACCACATAGTCTCTTTTGTTATTTAACACTGCATGTTGCCAAGTGCAGCGTTAAACAACAAGCACACAATAAAATAACCCCTGTACCATACAGTGTGCTGTTTGCCGGTAATTACCCAGAGCTCCAGATAAGCTTTTGGTGTTGTGGGTATTTTACCCATGCATTTTAAAATCATTGGGTATCAGTAATTCTATCTACATATTCAAATTTCTGTTACCCACTAGTTTTTACACATGTGAGTATTTAAGTTAAATATTCAAAAACACTATTCATCTAGTCCCCGCAAACTGGAGTCGTGTGGGTTCGAGAGCTTTATAGGACTCAAAAATACCATGATACTTCCACAAGAAAGAGTGATGGCAAATGATCATGATGTAACTGTCATCGTGGAGTTAAGCAAGGTTGACGGAATGCCCGTTTATAATTTCAAAATAAGTTGCTGATTTGCTAATCGAATACGCAGGGTTACTTCACAATATTTTGATGATACGCACAAATTTTATTTTTGTAGCATATCTGTAATGTTCGTTGCGTATTTGATACGCTTGGATGACATTTTACTGCGTATTTCTGCATTTCTGATGCGTATTTTACGCAGATACGCAGCTTATCTTGAGCTCTGAATTACCAGTTTTTTACCGGTAAAATAAGGCTAGGACCGGTAATTCATGTGACTTTCAGTCCCTGTGGATCAGCAAATAAAGTACCCTATTTATCTTAGTTGTTGAACAAAACATTGGCGATATTTTAAGTATATTTTTCAAACAAAGTCAGCTGGTATATTACCATGATGGTTTCCCCTTGTCTATTTGTAGTGCAAGGAAATAACCTTTTCGCTTTGCTTCGAGGTTAAATATATATTTGTAGTGACTTAGTCTCGAAATATCAATATTTTGTTTTTAGAAAATTGTGACTGAACTGTAGATTGTAGATCTAGCTAAGTTACTTCAGAGATGATGTCATTGCATTGAATATGATATTGAAAGACTTAAAAACAGGTAATTTTCACATTTTAAAGTTGGGACTTACAAAAATTAGGGGGAACTGGTAACGTTTAGAGTTGCCAGTCCACCAGGACTGGCAGTTTTAAAAGCCAGTGGGAACACTGACCATAGTAACTTCTATAAACTCTCTTGTAAGATTTTCCGTCTGTTAAAATTATGATCTACAGTATTATGCATGCTTTCATCACAGTCAGCTGATAGCACTCCCTAACTCACCAATTTGTCGGCCCTCTTGTTTAGGTCAGCCTCCTATATCAGGCTGACATGACATACAATGACAACCCAACTCACTCACTCACTCATTCAAATCCCCAACTCACCCTGATGATAAATAATATTACCTTAGTTTGTTAGTTTCACCATTTAGTTGACATGCTGTGATATAACTGAATATGTTGGTCAAAGTGGCAATGAACCCAACTCACTCACTCACTCACTACTTAATTCTGCATGCAAACCTTATAGGATGAAGAGAAACCTATGCTTTGATAGGCAGAGTTAGCAAGAGATCTCATACTTTGTTCATTATTGTATGCCTAATAACCCCTTTCATATGACTTTCATATATACATGAATGATCCTTATGAATCCTCTACCTCTATTACATCATTGCCATAAATTCTGTATTTTGGCTGAAACCACACAATAACTTTATCTTCACATTTTCCACAGAAGTCCTTTTCAATGTCAACTACAAACAACAAGTTGTTCCTGCAATAACTGCAGTAGCCTGACAACTCTTCCGTGCGCAAAGGCTGGAAAAACCTCACTTCTTTCCTGTGTGCGCTAGAGACAACGCCTTTGGTTTAGCTTACCCTAGCACTTGGTTATGTAGCCACACTCTTTAACTAGTATCCCATCGGTACTTAGTTTAAGCGTTACAAGAAAGATTTGTATAGGCAAATTACTAGCTGGTTACATGAGTATTTTCTGCGGTTGGTTTTTGTGTTATGGCATCGTCTGTCATTGGGGTCCCACATAATTTCTGCTGGGAATTGCAGAGTAAGTGCTGAGGAGGAGCTTTGCACTCATCTCTCCAAGACAGCTTTTTCAAAGGTGGATGACTCTTTCACTGAAGTCACGCGTAAGGGGGCTGCTAAGAAGAAAGTCCTTGCCTGATGGATCCCAAGACCATGGCATCTATCACAACACCTACTAACTCCTCAGCCAGACCCAGCTTCTGGTTTTTCAATCAGCACGTTGGAGAAGCTTTGTGCACAGCAGAAGCCATCCATTGAAGTCTTCCTTGCCTCCCGTCTATCAGCATAATCATCGGAGGTTGACAAGTTAAAGAAGGCTCAGTCCTTACAGCCTCAAAAGAATCCCCTGGCCAATAGGCTGCATGGGGGTATGTTTCTAGTTGAGCCCCGACTATCTTCGTCTGCCAGTGCCTTGGTTGCAGGACTTCCGGACAAGCAGCTAGGTAGTGGCGACCATGCCTTACCCACCGTGACAACCGTCCGTGCCGGTCCCTCCACGGTCCACACCGGTCCCTCCACGGTCCATCTGGATATCCTGTTAGACCTACAGAGAACTGAAGTTCAACATAAGGGTATGGGTTAATCTAAGGTCCCGTATGGCTCCCACATGGACCACGTTGACCACACAGACTACCAGTCTAATACTAATATGAAACTCATCATCACTGCAAGTTGATGCCCATACGCACTGATCAGGCTGGACTTTTTTACAGTCTACTCGACATGGTTGTTTCGTATATAGGAGGATTTACTGACAACACAAATCTGGATTCTTCCCAGCTCCTCGCGTTACAGCGCTAGCAGCTCCTTGCACAGATCGGGTCGTTGTCTCCTAAACGGTCTCACGACTCCTCCAGGGATTCCACCTTCCTCAAACAGGCTTAGAAGAAGTTCATACTATCAAGGAAGGAGTGCTTTCCGACCTCTCGTCGCTACGATCGTTCCCAGGCACCTTCTGAGGTTTTTTGTCCCTCAGACCCAGTACTCATCCCTCTCCACCTCCGTCATGATCTGTCCTGGTGGACTCTTTGTGACCTTGTCTGGGATTCTCACCAGATGCCTATTTTGTAATTCCTATTCTTTGATTGACATTGTTATATACTTGTTACAACTGCGTGAAGATCCGGGGTAGAATAGGTCTTCATCAACCCATGCTTGCCATAAAAGGCACTGGATTGTCTGGTCCATACTCGATTATTTATGCTGAGTGCGGCGTTAAACAAAAAAACAAAAAAAGCAAAACAAAAATCCTCTAGTGGTTTGATGTTTTGGTGAGGATTGCACACTGAAGAGCTGTCAGGCTACTGGTGCTATCCCGGGAACAACTAGTTTGTAGTTGTAGTTGACAGTGAGGTGAGGTGAAATGGGGTGTAACATCGCGTCAAAGATTATTGCACATATATAGTGACTTGCATGCATTGGCTGCTTGTACTAGTCCGGACTGATGCCGATTTATAGTGCTAGCCCACTGAGATACCATGAATAAACCACTCAGACACTGACTGACAGACTTATACTGACTCTGAGCCTACCAGTCCTTGTTTTAGTCCCTTAATGCCGAGCCCCAGACAGGGTAACAAAAGTGCCATCTTTTAACTTCTTTTAGTATGACCCGGCTGGGGATTGAACCCCGGACCTTCCGCTCTCTGGGCGGACCACTAGACCACGGAGGAGGACTTCTGTTTAAAATCTGAAGATTTAGTTATAGTGTGGTTGCAACCAAAATACAGGATTTATGGCAATGATGTAATAGAGGTAGAATTCTCAGAATTATTACCAATGATAACTATTGAGTTGATGTTGCTGTACTATTACTTTTCTAAGGCCCAGTGAAGAGGCGACTTAGGGATGAGGCAGTCAGACTCGCTGACTTGGTTGATGCATGTCATCGTATCCCACTTGCATAGATCGATGCTCATGATGTCAATCACTAGATTGGTTGATCCAGAATCAATTATTTACATGCCACTGTCATATATCTGCAATATTGCTGAGTGCCGGGTTAAAAACAATAAACAAACTTTGCTCAGGGAGAGCTTTTGGGGAGAAGCAATTTGTTAAAAATATTAATGGGTAACAACTTGGTTTCTATGGCAATGGGTGACCTTCAGTTGTGATGTCACATCAGTTCTCACACTATCAGTCACTGGTTTGTTTTGAGCACTCCGTAATATCCTCACTCATTCAATGTTCTCACGGTACTAAAATTGTCTATACTTTTGCTGTCATAGTTGCATGTGTGCAGAGGTAAAACTGCAAGGAGACGTAGAAACATAATATGAATTACAATATGCTGGAGTCAAAGGTTTAGTGGTTTTTTTAAAATCCTCAGTATTTATACATTATGTGTTTGTGTAAATATCAGTGTTGACAGCAATTTTTGTTGTGGCTGTCTTTGTTGACACTTAACACTGTTGCCTACATATCCAGGTGAGCTACAGTGTTGTGGCACTATTTTTAAAAGATCAAATTATATTTGTAAAGATAAAATATATGTTAAAACACTGTTCAAAGAAGGGACATACAATTGTTTGTAAATGATTATCTTAAATGTACATGATAATGTTTGTTTTGATGTAGGTAATTTTGTGATGGACATCATGCTGACAGCAACCAAGGCTGAAATAGCACTGCTCAACTCAGGGACTTTCAGATCTGACAAAATACATCCAAAAGGAGTCTTCAAAATCAGGGATCTTCTCACCATATTGCCTCTCGTTGATCCGCTGGTGGTTCTTAAGGTCACAGGTGGGTGTGGAGATTACTAGCAACAAGTGTATTGGGACACTAGCATTGGTAACTGTATTTCTGTGCTGCTCCCAATAAAGGATTGTGATGATCAAAATAATTATAGACCTGTGAAGATCTGGGGTAGAATGGGTCTTCAGCAAATGGTACTTGCCGTAAAAGGCGACTATGCTTGTCATAAGAGGCAACTAACGGGATTGGGTGGTCAGACTCGCTGACTTGGTTGATGCATGTCATTGAATCCCAATTGAGTGGATTGATGCTCACGATGTCAATCACTGGATTTTCTGGTCCAGACTTGATTACATACAAACCGCTGTCTTATAGCTGAAATATTGCTGAGTGTGGCGTTAAACAACAAACAAACAAAATGATTATAGGCAGCAGCACAGAGATACGGTTACCGCAACTATTGGTGCACAAGCCTATTAGAAGGGATAGGTAAAGAAGACCAAGCACATCATCACTTGGTCATTATGTACAGTGGGTGACATTAGTGCCAGGCCAGTAGCCAATCTATGTAATTTGAGTCAGCTTCTGTTAGAAGTGACAATTTTTCAGATTACTCTCACTTTACTTTCCATAAATGGTCACAATAAATAAGCACATTTATTCCTATGTGAGTTGGCCTGTCATTACATTCATTACGTCATTATAATTGACTAGCATTAAACAACAGTAACTCACACACACACTAAGTACATACTTCAGTGTACGGTAAATTGGTCTTTTAGGCAATTATACTCAGATTTAAAATTTTCCTTTGCCTTGATTGTTAATTGCCATTAGTAATTATCACATTAAAAGAAACATAGAGTGAATTTTTGGCTTATCTTAAGCTGACAAAGTTGATATTTTCCTGAGTGGTGCGTCAAAGATTGAAAATGTCATGAGATGTGTTAAACATGTTATTTGACACGAAAAGACAGATTTTTATTTATTATGTATTTTCTTACACAACCGTCTCGGAAAACAAAAGTTTCATAGTGGCAAACTGAAAGAAGTTATGGCACTAAGTTGAGTGAAATAGTGGTTTTATATTTGATATAAAATAGTATTTGATCACTAAGTACATGGTAACTATTTATATATTTTCTATATAACCTTCTCCACCTTTCCCAGGATCCCAGCTCCATCAAGCTCTAGAGAACGGGGTGTCCAAGTACCCAAAACTGGAGGGGCGTTTCCCTCAGGTGTCAGGGATGGTGTTTGGATTTGACCCCAGCAAACCTCCAGGGGAACGTGTGGACTCCCGCTTGGTGAAGGTACAAGGTGGATACCTTGAGCTGGACAGGGTAAGGAACTTGTGGCCATGTTATCTGTCAAACCTCCAGGGGAACATGTAGACTCCAGCGTGGTGAATGTGTAGAGGGAATACCTCCAGCTGGATAAGGTAAGGAACTTGTGGCCATGTTATCTATCAAACCTCCAGGGAACGTGTAGACTCCAGCGTAGTGAATGTGCAGAGGGAATACCTCCAGCTGGATAAGGTAAGGAACTTGTGGCCATGTTATCTGTCAAACCCCCAGGGAACGTGTAGACTCCAGGGTGGTGAATGTGTAGAGGGAATACCTCCAGCTGGATAAGGTAAGGAACCTGTGGCCATGTTATCTGTCAAACCTCCAGGGAACGTGTAGACTCCAGCGTGGTGAATGTGTAGAGGGAATTCCTCCAGCTGGATAAGGTAAGGAACCTGTGGCCATGTTATCTATCAAACCTCCAGGGAACGTGTAGACTCCAGCGTGGTGAATGTGCAGAGGGAATACCTCCAGCTGGATAAGGTAAGGAACTTGTGGCCATGTTATCTGTCAAACCTCCAGGGAACGTGTAGACTCCAGCATGGTGAATGTGTAGAGGGAATACCTCCAGCTGGATAAGGTAAGGAACTTGTGGCCATGTTATCTATCAAACCCCCAGGGAACGTGTAGACTCCAGCTTGGTGAATGTGTAGAGGGAATACCTCCAGCTGGATAAGGTAAGGAACTTGTGGCCATGTTATCTGTCAAACCTCCAGGGAACGTGTAGACTCCAGCGTGGTGAATGTGCAGAGGGAATACCTCCAGCTGGATAAGGTAAGGAACTTGTGGCCATGTTATCTGTCAAACCTCCAGGGAACATGTAGACTCCAGGGTGGTGAATGTGTAGAGGGAATACCTCCAGCTGGATAAGGTAAGGAACTTGTGGCCATGTTATCTGTCAAACCTCCAGGGAACGTGTAGACTCCAGCGTAGTGAATGTGCAGAGGGAATACCTCCAGCTGGATAAGGTAAGGAACTTGTGGCCATGTTATCTGTCAAACCTCCAGGGAACGTGTAGACTCCAGCATTGTGAATGTGTAGAGGGAATACCTCCAGCTGGATAAGGTAAGGAACTTGTGGCCATGTTATCTGTCAAACCCCCAGGGAACGTGTAGACTCCAGCGTGGTGAATGTGTAGAGGGAATACCTCCAGCTGGATAAGGTAAGGAACTTGTGGCCATGTTATCTATCAAACCTCCAGGGAACGTGTAGACTCCAGGGTGGTGAATGTGTAGAGGGAATACCTCCAGCTGGATAAGGTAAGGAACTTGTGGCCATGTTATCTATCAAACCCCCAGGGAACGTGTAGACTCCAGGGTGGTGAATGTGTAGAGGGAATACCTCCAGCTGGATAAGGTAAGGAACCTGTGGCCATGTTATCTGTCAAACCTCCAGGAGAACGTGTAGACTAATGCCTGGTGAAGGTGCAGAGCAAATTCCTCCAGCGAGACTAAGTAGGTAACTTGTGGCAGCATTGTCAAAAGTACAGGAGAATGTGCAGACTCCCTCATTGTTAAGATGCAACAGGAATACTTGACAAGGATGTACAATAATAAAAACACTGCATTTCAATTCTTTTTTTCTTTTGTCACTCGAGTCAATATCTTATTTACAAGAGGCCTTTATTTGCTGTACTGAGTTGTGTCCTTGGCACTACCGGGAACTGACAATCTTGGCTTCAAATACAAGAACTGACTTACTCCATGTCCTAGATTTGTCAGCACCACATCCATGCTTGTGGGCTTCACCGAATTTGTAAAAATGAAAATCTGTGACGTGGCAAGGCGACAAGCTGTGATGGTATTTAACCTAACATGCTTACTAACTATATCAGCCATATAGATAATATGTCAGTTTTATTGGTGCCATGTATTCTGTGTAATAATGAAGCTGTCTCTCCTTCAGGTGTACACTCTGTGTACCAAGGAGTACATCGCTGCTGGGAAGGATGGCTATGATGTGTTCAAGCCTTGTGAAATAGCGGTGAGATTTGTACTAATGCTCATGTACAAAGACCCTGAAGATCCGGGGTAGAAAAGGTCTTCAGCAACCCATGCTTGACCTAAAAGGCGACTATGCTTGTCGTAAGAGGCGACTAACGGGATCGGGTGGTCAGGCTCGCTGACTTCGTTGATACATGTCATTGTATCCCATTTGCGTGGGACCCGTGAAGATCCGGGGTAGAATAGGTCTTCAGCAACCCATGCTTGCTGTAAAAGGCGACTATGCTTGTCGTAAGAGGCGACTAACGGGATCGGGTGGTCAGGCTCGCTGACTTCGTTGATGCATGTCATTGTATCCCGATTGCGTGGATCGATGCTCATGATGTCAATCACTGAAGTGTATGGCCCAGACTTGATTATTTACAGACCGCCATCAATCAGATTGAAACACACACTTTTTACATTGAAGATAAAACTTGTTCCCAATGATCACAGCTAAATCTACTCAGGAGGTTTTTTTAACCACCAGTTAATGGCCATTGTTTTTTTTTAATTAAATGTTGCATATGTAAATTCTGTAAACAAGGGGCTCTTGTCATAATCCTAATGTTAAAAGTTAAAGATTTTGGGGCCCCTAACTTCAAATGATGGTACCCCTGGAGAAGACCTGGAGTATCCCAATGCCCAATGCCCCCCTTAATTTCAAACACTGTAAACACCATGTTCCATGTTTTGCCATATTTTAAATATTCACCTTCATTTGGCCTTAGTACTTTAACAAAGTCCTTAAATGCTCTCAGAATGCACTCTGGGCTCTGTAAACATCTTCTCTTGAACTGGCATTCATGTTCCTTTAAATAATGACACCACTTTGTGTGAGTTGAAGTATGTACATTACTCGGACAACTTGCAGGTGTCTGCTGAACAGTGTCAGTCTCTATCGACGACCGTCAACAACCACTTTGACTCTGTGAAGATCTACAAGGGGCAGAAACCATGCAAGTCCGGACACAGACAGAGTCTCTTGTGTCTAGCTAGGTATGTACAGTTCAGATTTGTCTCATCCATGTATTGCTGTGAGTGAGTGAGTTGGGTTTATGTTACTGTGTGTCAACTTATGTGGGAGGAAAGCCGGAAATGGTGCAGGTGTCACATGTTTACCACTTCGGTGAAACCCATGAGCATGGGTATGGTGCTGACAAACCTAGAAACATAATTGGGGTGACCGGGATTTGAACCACGATCCTAGATTTCTTAGAGATACAACTCAGCAAATTGTGGGGCCTTAGATGACTGGTTCACCTGTGCCCTTCAGAAGTTTTGTGTACTTAGACCTTATTTTAAGCACACTAGGGGTGACTGTCAAAACATTTGTACACTACAATTGAACAAGATATAACTGTTGTTACAATTGATCCAGATTTTGAAGTTACCGGTAGTTAGGCATTTCTGTTTTTATTAGTGCTATATCAAATCATATTGTGAAATCAGTGATCAAGACAATATATATATAACATTGTAAGGCAAGGGGTAGAAGGTTATTTCAATTCTGAATACATTGTAGCACTAGGAAAGACATCGTCAATACTTCACTTGTGTACTTGCGTACACATTCCTCCATCACCTCTTAATAGGACTGCTTTGCTGTGAAATCACCATTTTCAAAGAATTTAGCAACAGCATGGTCGAGCCAGAGGGAAGTGAGCAAGTGCTTAGATCATTTAGTGTGCAGATTACATTGCACAAAGGGTAATGTTTCTCAACTGACAGTGTGTGGTGGAGGGGTAGCCTAGTGGTTAAAGTGTTTGCTTGCCACGCCAAAGACCCGAGTTCGAATCCCCACATGGGTACAATATGTGAAGCCCATTTCTGGCATCCCCCACCGAGATGTTGCTGTAATATTATTGCGTAAAACCACACTCACTCACTCACTCACTCACTCACTCACTCACTCACTCACTCACTCACTCACTGTCGGCAATGGTAGGGTTCACCCAATGTTGCTGGATGGGAGCAGGGCACACATCACTATTACTGTACATAGCGGCTGCATGGGTTCACAGCTGATGAAGGAAGATACTGTACACAAACGTGGGAAGTATTGACGATGGAGGAAAGATTATGTATCAGAATATTACTGTGTCCTGGGTGTTTTTAAACCTGGCTCTCGGTTAAATTCCTCTAGCAGTGACACTTTGCAACATTAGTCACTGTATAATTATTATGTCAGTGTGAGTAGGAAAACCATTCTTTCATAGACTCTCGTAATTAGAATTTATATCTTTCCAGTCTGTGCCAAACCTGAACTTGACTCTTGGCATTATGTTCAGTAGATTTCAGTGTTATCATATAGAATATTATTGGCTATACTGACCGAACAGAAATTTAGCAGACTGGGATTTCGGACTGGTGGCTAAAGTCGCAGACTGCCTTTGTTCTCTGGGTCTGTGACATCTTTGGTGCAGAAATAAAGAGTGATTAATTGAAAGGTAGCCTACAGTCATGTAATGTTTGACTTATTTATAACATGGTACGTGTTTGTGGTGGCCAACTACAGGAAGACCTCCATGGTGAGGCAGGCCAGCATGGATCAGGTCCACAAGCCCTACCCCCTGGTGAGACAACAGAGCATCCATGAGGCAGAGGCGGAGCAGTGCTACCTGGCCCCCAAGATAGACCACCGAATCTTCCAGTACAACGACGAGGTGAGACTGCAGGGCTAGACACCACTACAAATCCACAAGCCTGAAACTAGTGGAGATCTGAGGGACTGGCGGTTTACACTCAGGTCTAGTTGTTTCATTGGGTGGTGTTTTGCTCGCAAAATAAGTCACAATAGCAGGATATAATGAGTGCAACATTAAACAACAATTTGTTAAAAATGTGTTGCATGGGCCTGTTCATCTGAAACAGTGGACCCGTTGGATTGATAGTGCTATTATTGACAGACACGTGCACATGCACACACATACACACACATACACACACATATACACTATAGTTTGGAAAACATACATAACTAGTGTGGTGCTTTTTTTGTCACTGTTTCTTTGAAATATATACTGGTACATATATGCATATATATTTACCTTGCATTTACCAAACCTTAATATTTATAATTTTACCTTATCCTCATACTAAGTGCTTATCTCATCTCATTCTGAAAAGTTAGTGGAAACTCCTGTGCTGTGTTCTCTCACAGCCGCACCAGAAGCATGTGACCAAGCCAGAATACTCACCACTGTGAGAAATCTTGAACTGATATCCTAAGATCTTACAGACTAGCAGATCAAAGAAAGATATTCAAAGCCTCAGTCTGGGACTTAAATATAGTCCTGAAGCATCTTACCAGTGACGCTTACCAACCTCTAGAAGAAACTGATTCGAACACCTGATACAGAAAACATTATTTCTACAGCCTTTACCCACGGCTGTCAGAATGTCAGAAATACATGCCACAGATTTCGGTCACACCAGATTCAACCACCGACCGAGAGTCCATGCCTCCTGTTTTACTATGTAAATTTATACTTATCCCGACTCATACGCTATAGCGCCCATCCAGCCATCCCTGTTTCCAGTATTCGTGTTTCGACCATTAAGGGTAAGCGAGAGGAGAGAGTGATGAGTATACCGGCTTGGTCACATTCCTCCGGTGCGGCTGCACTTTCTGAGGAGTGTGTTCGGGTGAGAAATATTTTCAGTTCTTGTGAACACAGCAAAGAGTGAGATGAGGTGAGATAAGCAGTGAGGATAAGTATTAATGATATAATTACGCTGACAACGGGTGTAAATAGAGGAGTTATATCATGTATAATATATATTTCACTGGAAGAATTCATCCCCATTGTTGAAATACTGGTTGTTATACTTATTATGTGACAAGTGTCAACAGTAGTTAGAGATGTCGTTGCCACTGTGACTCTTTTACATTGTATACAATTGTTTGAGAATTATTTAGAAATTAAGTCGCAGGATTCTTTACCCCCATCTTGGGTATGAAGATTAGAAGCAGTAATGCTTTAATCTATGACATCTTCATCCACTCTTCCTGACACAGAGATGAGACGAGAGTAATTGGCCTCTTTGATACTTTTCAGAAACTGAAGCTGATGTTGGCACTGAAGCCACAGTTTAGCAGGATTCTCAGCAAAGTGTCTGAGGATGCCAGTGACAGTGTGGAGATGGCAGACGAGGACAACTGATAAAAATCACAACCTCTACCCGATCACATTTCCAAGTTTTAATCTTGTTTTAGCTCACCTTGCTGACAGCAAACCTTTTGACTGACATTAAGTTTTAATGGCATTATGTGAAAATCATTCCATTGCTGTTGCAACAATTATGAATGCCAAATAGCAGATCTACCTCAGGACACATCAAATTTGTTCATAACGTTGGTCGAGAATAAGTTGCAGCTGTATCAAGACTGGTATATGTGGTTTTATGGGTCCCATGTTAAAACCACATATACTCCTTGTGATACTGCTACAGCGAATTTATCTTGCCAACATATTTCAATATGCCATTATAAAAGAATTGAAAGAAATTGAAAATTGATAGGAAACAGCTGTTCAATTGATCTGAGGTGAACTTGTGCTGTGTCATGTGACTTTCATCGACTCGTAAACAATGCATGGCTTTTAGCGTCATAGCGGGGTGTAAGAGATTTATCCTCTCACTTAAAAATTCACATGCAGCCTGTGCAGCCTTCGCATCTGGGTAAAAGGGATTTATCAACTTTTGTTCACTTCTTTTAAAACCATTTTTTAGACACTTATATTTTTGTGACAATCACATTAATTCAGGGACATTATGATGGACTAATGCAAATGATATTAGATTGTTATAAGACATATGAGGGTGATGTTTAGAACATCTTCAAAATCCTTGAATATGTACCGAACTTCAGCCTAACCATGAAGATCCAGATTAGAACAGGTCTTCAGCAACCATTGCTTTCAGTAAGAGGCGACTATTCTTGTCATAAGAGGCCGTAAGGTACTGTAAGGTGTAACTGCCCAATAGTTAAGGTACCGTAAGGTGTAACTGCCCAATAGTTAAGGTACCGTAAGGTGTAACTGCCCAATAGTTAAGGTACCGTAATGTGTAACTGCCCAATAGTTAAGGTACCATAAGGTGTAACTGCCCAATAGTTAAGGTATCGTAAGGTGTAACTGCCCAATAGTTAAGGTATCGTATCGACAAGAATTGCACAAGAAAATTGCACATAGCTTTCACAAGGCACTATGTAAGCATTCAAGGCTACATCTGTGAAAAATACCATATCATTTTTATCCACCGCCATGAAGTGGGTCAGGGGACACAGGAACAGAGTTCATCCATCTGTCTGTCCGTCCTTCTGTCCGTCCGCTTCTCAAAGGGGACAAATTTTCTCCAAAATTATTTAAGTTAGAGAAATGAAATTTTACACACTGGTATTACTGGTCATGATTAATTGGTGTCTTAAATTAATTTTTTACAGAGTTATGGCCCTTGCTTCGTGTTTTTCAACTTAGTGCATACTGTGTGAAATGGGGACAAGTTTTCTCAGAAACTACTAAAGTTACATGAACAAAAGTTTGTGTGCTTATCTAAGAGATACTTGTCCAAACTGAGTTCGAAAATTAGTGCCATAGATTATTTTTCCAGAGAAGGGGCTTTTTGTGTTTGTTACTTTCACATTTAATCATTTATTCTGATGACATAAAGCAACCCTTAGAACTCTTTCTTATAGTTTATGTTCACTACTAAATGAACAAAAAGATTCTAATGTGCCCCATGGCGGGGGGGAGTGATGACGCTGTTTTTTTGTTGCATCTGTCGCAAGGTTCAGTGTATGTGTCCAAGGTTGGAGAATAATAACGTATAAAGCTATGCCATGCAATGTTATATCTTTATGGTTAATCCTATATGGCATATATGACACTCAAGTTGGGCATTCAATTCCTGCCAAACCAGGACAAGATGAGAGTGGCGAGGAATACCAAGCTGTGTTACTTAAATACAAGTTGATTGTTAAAGCTTTACTGTCAAACTTAACTATGTGTTTATTGTTGTGTTGGTGTATACGTCTGATATACAGCGTTGCATAATGTTTTAAGATATAGAATATCTATAATGGCGTCATTTACCACACCTTTATTTGTTACCTAAAATGGCTTGTTAAGAATACTGCTGTGTTATATATACCGTATTCGACGTAATAAGCGCCCTGCTCTGATAAGCGCCCACGGCGATATTTGCTAATATATTGGCTAGTGAACAATCCCAGTTACCACCCCTTCCGATTGATCAATGTACACAAGACTTATTTATTCGTGTATAATACGTGTGTTATATGCATCCTTAATTATGGGAAATTAGATTCTGGAAAAATATATCTGTTGTATATAAACATTTCAGGCTGTCAGCATAAACCACAAAATTTACAATCTTTCAACCCTGTTTTTCACCAAAATAATATTCTAATAAGAGCCCCCTATTTCTAATTTTGAGAGTGCCCTGGGTGCTTATTATGTCGAATACAGTCCATGTTGATTCAGTAGATGCTGTTGTATATAGAAGGTTATATACTAGTACCTGTCATAGTTATTTTTTATATTTATTATCACAGTATATATATATTTTAATATGTTTGTTTGTTTAAGAGTAATTGTGATGCAAAATATTGTACGCTACATTGACACATTAGTAGATTGTGCCTCAGTGGTATTGTTATGTAAAAAGAGTGATTGAAGGTTAATGATTTCATTATGTGTTTGTTAGACTACAAGTGGCAGGCAAAATGGATATCCTCTTTAACTGGGTATATATTAAAGTGGATTATATTTTCTTTTAATATCTTAATTCTTTTTTACCCTTTATGTGCTTCGTGTCATTTTTGTGCTCAATTTATTTCAATTACATTCACTGAAAGTAGCATCTGCAATTTCCAGAGCTACAAAAATTAAGAATTAGATTTTCATCCAAATTTTAAGAAAATATGAGGTGGGAGCAATTTATTTGTTACTTAATTATTTTAAACAAAGTTTTCAAAGGATAGGTGTACAAAAAATGTATAAAAAGTATTGATGTACAACTGTAATGTCACTTTGACCAACATATTATAAATACACTACTCAAAAAGTTAAGAATATATGGCATGACGTGAACTATAGTAATATGAAAGAACTGTGTAGTCTTAAGCTTTTTTTAGTAGTATATGATCAAGTCCCACATATCAGCAACATTTTTTGTGCATTAAAGCAAATTGTTATGCATATCATATATTTTTCTCATTATTGTTGCAATCATTTTCATTAATGGTGGTACTGATGCTGCTATGTTTAGTATTGTTGTTATCCCTCATTGAGCTGGTGTATAGTTCTACCTTACCCATGTATCACTCCAAGTCTCTCTCACACAGCTGTCTAATAACGTTCATGTTTTTTACACAGATATTTGTTATGCCATATCTTGCACCAAAACACACTGATAATGTCATTTAGAAAGTGGTCAAATGTAACAAATGTTATATTTGGGATGACACTTTCTTAGTAAACATTTCTAAATTTTTTAGATTTGACCACTTTCTAGATGGCATTGTGTGTTCATAGCATTCGGTCATGGGAGCCGTGGTAATTTACACTAGCAGAGGGGTACACAGAGTAGGTGATCTAGACTACCAGATGTCGGACTTTCATTTTTGTGGAAGCCTCGATGGCTGAGTGGGTTAGATTGCTGACTTTGTGTGCTGGCAATTAGGTGCCTCACTCTGGCAATGTGGGTTCGAATCCCGGATGGGACTCAACCGAAAAAAGTATGAGAATCTGTACTTTACTCAGAAAGTGTTATCCCATATACAACATTTGTTACATTTAACCATGTTCATTGTGTGTTCATAAGGAGCTGGTATGTAAAGTCAGCCTCAGCGTCAGTCAATACTGTATATTAGACTGCAACTCCATCTATGTGTTCTGAAGGAAAACGTTTTCGTATTCTTTGAAAATGTATCATGGGTCGGTGGCCCCTTCAGACTAATTAAAAAACAACATCAACTAACCTGCCACATCACATCAATTTCCTTATATAACACTGAGTAGTCCAGATACACACCAGCGAGTCTATACTGTTAGATAAACACGTTGTTTCAGCCTTCCTTGTCAACTACAACACATGCATCTATAGTTTAAAAACCACTGACTGACTCTAAGTTACATTTTCATCACACCGCTTCCTACTCATAAAAAATATCGTATGCAAAAGTAGCTTTGATCTTCGGTAATCTCATCAACAGGGTGTCGCAAAACTTTCAGACGCAGTTAGGTTAGTGTTAGACACTCGCAATAATTTCATAGCGCAAAACATTCCTGATTTACTTAACTGTTTTTCAGCATTTCAACTTTTGCTCGTTATATGTTATTGACAAAAAAATCCACAGTTACTTGGTGCTAGCATATACAACGAAAAAAAACAGAGAAAAGGTGATGAATGTTATCCTTTTCCTTGTCAGTATATGAGAGTGTTTTTAGCATGTTAAGTGTCTGAAATTGAATTTGCTGTTACACGTTTAGAACAGCAGTCACACTGGTTGTTTCCTGATGGTTGACTCTTGCAGGTCTGTCAGTCCAAGTTGTCAGGTGTTTCTCTTGTTGAACATGCGTCGACTACTATTGTGAACTTTCAATCAAACCAGCTTTTAATGGTTCTTAGTCATTGTTACACAGTATATGGACTTTTTTGTCATTTGTTGAAGTCCTTGTTGCATTTTGATCAGGCCAGACTGGGAGTTTTCATGTTAATGTATATCAGGGTTGCAAAAATAGCCCATCCTCACTGTCCAGGATGGGTTATTTCCACTAAGGACCGGTGAAATACATGGCTTTATTCCACCAAGGACTGGTGAAATACAAGGGTTAATTCCACCAAGTACCGGTGAAATACAAGGGTGAATTCCACCAAGGAACGGTGAAATACAAGGGTTAATTCCACAAATGACCGGTGATATCAGGGGTTAATTCCACAAAGGACAATGTAATACAAGGGTTAATGCCACCAAGGACCTGTGAAATACAAGTTTACCCGTCCCGTGGATGGTTATATTTTTTCTGCCAATTAGTAATTAATACAAATCTCCATATGAACAGGTAAAACGACTAGAGTCAGCAGCAAGGGTAGTGATATTGTGATAGTTTCTCTTTTGTGGAACTCTGGTATCAGTGGTCAGTAGTTGACAAATTGACTGTTATTTATTGTATTGATGGGCAATAAGTGTTGTTACATTGCTGGACTAGAAGTTATGTCATTTGTTGTTTTTTGTAGTAACAACCACTGCTATTTCAAGTTCGAAGTACTAGAAATGAAAAAAAGAGATGCATCATCACGTTTGGATTCCATAAAATGTGGGAATGGCAATTTTTGACAAGGACTGGTAAGACTTTCAAGTAGCCAGTCCTGTGGTTTCGGGTAAATATATTTCAAGCCTGCAACCCCGGGATTATCTTACCTTTTATGATTAGTCAAAAGAACAAATTTATTTTAGAAAAGATGACTTGGCAATTATAAATATGCTTGTTTCAAACTTCCTGATAGGTTCTTCCAATGTCATTTCAAAACACCTTTGAAGTATAGGATAAAACACGTCCAAGGATTGTTATATTTAAAACCTGCATCCCAAGGGATTTTCCGAGGATAAGGTTTTTAAATATAACAACCTCAGGGGGAAGTGTTTTATCTTACTTATAAACCGAATTTGAACCTTAAAACAACATTTATCAACATTTCGAACATACTTTCCATGAACCTTAGGAAACAGGCGTAAAATATCTGTCGCTGGTGTACGGATCTTGAAAAGGACATTCTAGAAAGCAGTGCGGCTTATCAACACCTCTGTAGCCTTGTGGTACACTCACTGGGCTACAGATATGAAGGTTGCGAGTTCAATCCTCGGGAATATAAAGAAAACATTTGTCATTTGATTTTACATTTCATTGCATTTTACAATCTGAATAGAAGTTATATTAATAAAATACCCAGGACATTATATAAAATCCCTGGGATATAGCAAATATGACTTGAATATCCTATAAAATCGCGACTGGAGTAACAATAAGATGACGTCACCGAAGGTTTATAAGGAAAATAAATCTTTTTTGATAATAGGGCATTTACAAGAATAAATATGCATACTGTTGGTGTTTTTGTGAAAACAAATTATTAGGTTATTTGAAATTTAACTTACTGTTGTTGTTGTTGCACTAAGCGCCTCACTCCAAATAGGTAATCTCAATAAGCGCATATCACTAAGCCCAAAAATGTACACGTAAATCTGTATTTGTAATCCACAAATCTTGTTTACAGGAAACCCTGCAGTCTAGAAGGCAGTGTATATAATTGCCTCGTAACTATATGAAAAAAGTTTCAGTTTCATTGACTAGGTGTGCTATCTACCACTTGATCGCTGACAACAAGTTTTACTTGTGTATGGTTTTAATAAGGACCCTACTTAGTGAATTTTCTATGCTCCCAGGGCGCTTATTACAGCATGTACAGTAGTTGAAAGAAATTTTCGCCTATGGTTTGTCATATATTAACTGTATTAACCTCAGATAGATGGGTCTGGCCCAATGACGATTTTTGCTGAGCAAACAAATTGCTGCATAGTTTGTTCTCCACAACAGACAAAACTGGTGTCTGCAAGAGGGTAGGTCATCAGAGATGGAGCGATGTGGACATTGTTACATTTGTCATGTATCGGAGACAAGGGTACCGGTTAGAGATTATCTCCTCGGTGAAACCAATCTCAATAAGATCAGAACTTTGTCCAGCTGTAGCAAGTTGATACTTTGTAGTTCTCCCAAATATTAGCCAAAAGAGCTGCTACTTAGAGATTTTAATATAAGTTTGTCTTGGATTTACCATTGCATGACATCTTCAGAAGACATTACACGTTAAAAAGGCATTCACTAACATTGGTTTACAAGTATCTCAGTTTAGATGTGTGTTCTGTGGACTAGTTTTAACTTGTTATTTTAGAGGCATTTTCTGAAAAAAGGCTAATGAGCAGTCAGGTGGGTGTTGCCTGCTCTGGCTCCCCCCTGTTTAGTCTGTGGGTGTTGGCTGCTCTGGCTTCCCCCTGTTTAGTCTGTGGGTGTTGGCTGACAAAAACTATACAGATGTGGGGTGGGGGAGGAAAGCTCTGCTTTTATCGGTCCAGTATACCATGCTGCTATGTGATAGATAGGATAGCAGAATAAGGAAGTACTGCATCGGAAAACAGTGTAATGGGATCTCAACTTTTGTCATTGTATCAGTTCATTAATATTTTTAATATAATGATAATAATAATTAATATATTAACTGGCATTAATTGAAGCCTCTATTTGAAATAGACTTTCTGAAATGGCAGGATGTTGATGAATGCTGTCTCTATGCCTTGCTTATTGTGTACCGGTATATTCTTTTGTTAATACCAACTTTATTAAAGTTATTAAATACTTATCACAATACTTATCATGTTTATTGTTGTCTTGAATTTCAGTTAAGTGTTATGTCATGATTACATCATTATGATTGTTGTGTGATTATATTGTTACATACTGTCACTGAAACTGGACATTTCCACAAACTACATTCAGTAAAATTCTAAATGACAGATTTGCAAACTTTGCTGAAACACTGAAAACGCATATTCAACTTCAACCTGAAAAACAAGAAAATGATTTTAGCAGTAACTATCTAATCCCATAACAAATGACATTTTTGTGTTTGCTCATCTCATTACTAAGTACACAAAACAACTCAATTTGGTTTTGTTGTCATTTTGTCAAATATTACAAAAAGATTAATGTGCATCTTCAGAGTGTTTTGGGTACCAGTCCGAATTAAAGCCTGTTTAATAGTGCTAGACCACTGACAAACCAAAGTTTTACATGACTACAAAACTCAGTCTACTGTATACAGACTCCAAGCCGAGCCGACCAGTCCTTGCACCAGGCAGGGTAACAAAAAGTACCATCTTATCACGTCTTTTGGTATGATGATTAAACCCTGACCTTCAGCTCTCCCGGCAGACACTCTATCCACTCGACTACAGAGCCCCTTCACTTGGTATCAAGTCCTAATTAAATTACAGAACATTACAAAATACATGTCCAATAAAAATACTCTGGTGTGGGAGAAATTCACTGGCAAGTTACTGACGTGAAAGAGGTGTGAAAAAAAATGGATGCAGGGTATATATACTAATTAAGAGAGTTAAGGCCAACCGTTTCTGTCACATTTAGTAACATGAAAGATTGAGGTGGTCCTTAACTTCTTTTGAGTAGTATTTCATAATGGTATTGAGATGACATAAACTGGATACTCAAGGATGTAAGAAGATATGAAGAAAAAGAACCTTCTTTATTGAGGGCTGCATCCAGAGAGTACCTGGACCAGTGACTGTCAACTCAATCAGGGTGTGGAGAAAATATTAAAATTGTGTTTCCTATGAAAATGACCAAGGTCCCGGAACTACAGGCCCTACTGTGCTCCTTAAGGCTTGAGGACCAGAAGGCCAAATTCCGCCCCCTTGCTTGGAATTTGAATATGGTAATTCTAGGTTTGCAGCGGCGGCGGCGGCGACGACGCATGCACGCACGCACGCACACACACACACACACACACTTTGAGCCCCTCTACTCTTTTTAATTTTATGACCTCACCAAGAAAACAATTTTTCTCTTGGCTGTAGCCACTGCGGCACGGGTGAGTGAGTTACGTGCACTTGACATCACCTATGTCCGATTTGAGCATGGTACGCACGGAGTGATTTATCTGGATTGTGCTCGGATTTCATAGCTGGCCAGTCAACTACCAGGCCAACCCGATCGTTCCTTCATTCCACCAATCTCGATCATTGTTGGAGTTGAAAATGAGGGTGAACTCCTCTATTGCAGGGTGCACGCTCATGAGTTTTCAAAACTAGGCGTGGCTCACAGAAACGGTTGTTCATTCCGGTATCCGGTACGTCCATGACCGAAGTAAGTCGCAACACCATATCTCAATGGTTACGCACAGTCATCCTACAGGATTACGAGATCGACAATCTTGATCCTCCGTTAGCGAGATGGCTCTACATATTAATTGTTCTATTAGAGCAAACATGGAAGGATGTTTTTGGAGGTCCGACACAGTTTTCGCAAGTCATTATATTCTCGATGTGGCTCTTGAAGACGAAGGCGTTCACAGATTTGGGACTCTGGTAGTAGCCCAGCAGGTAACCAACCCCCCACGCTAATAATGAACTTGTCCTGTCCAGAGCCATATTTCCTCCCCGTGCAGCACTGTCTAAGACATGGAAGAAAAGATTGTTTTCAAGCTCTTTTATCAGCTTTGGCTCAGTAACACAGACGTTTTGCTATCATCCATTATTACACGTGTGTACACGAATTTATCCTCAATTTTATTTCGTAAACTGAAATAAGGTCTAAATGTGATTATCCCTTGCTTCCGGTGGAAGCCACAAGCCTTTCAAAGTCACATGAGGAAAAACGAGATCTCATCTTTGATTCTCTGGCTTCCGAAGATGCAAGACGTTGAAATTTTCGTGCTCGTCTTGTGTTTTTCATCGTGAGCAATCTTCGATGGTGATTCTCCAGTCTTGCTCTTTTTGTACTTCTCTTCTTGGCATAACTCTTTTCTTCGGTTTTTAAACCGTCATGAGATCGGATCATTCATCGGGTTCCCATGGAGAGGATGCAATTCCTGTTAGTCAAAAGCATGGACGCCATGTGCCTGTCAGCCATGAGGCAACCACGGCCACTGGAACCAGCCATGAGGCAAACAATAACCAGAGCCATGAGGCAGTTGGTGACAATGGCAGACCTAATGATGTTGATTTGGAGAATCGAAGCAGGAAACGAAATAGGAAGGACTGGAAAGGCTTCACAATTCCAAAACGGGACCAAGCCAAATCTCGCCATCGTCATCGCAAAAGAAATGACAGTAGCACTAGTAGTTCTTCTTCCGATAGCTTGTCATCCAGCTCAAGTAGTGACAGTAGTTCGTCAGAATCGTCAGTTTCGGAAGATTGTGAAACCAACAATCGTACTATTAGTACTGACAATCACCTGTATAAGCGTTTTAAGCCCACAGATGATAGGGCTGAACAAGAACTGTCTAACGAACTGCTAGATTATGCACATGAGCATTTCAACCACTACATTAAAGATGAAGTTATCACCAAGAACATATAAGAGGGCTGTCCGACCCCAAAAGGATTTGTGCCACTGGAGCTTGATGAAGAATGGTCAGATATGTTGGAAGAAAAAAGATTTACTGCGGCTAAATCTGTTGAAGCAGGGTTGGGAAAAATCCAATCAAGACTACTCAATGTGATGGGACCACTCGGTCAAGTGTGGCAGACCGTGGATAAAATCAGAGATAAAGGTGGTGAAGAGATTGATGTGAACGACTTCTTTAAATTAGTTGAAAAGACTGTTTGTTTGTTGGGACAAGCCTACGTTGCCACTACCTTTTATAGAAGACTGAACATTCTAACAAAGCTAATGAAAAGTCAGAAAAAAGCCCAGAAGTTTCTCTCAAAGAATGAGAAAAAGTTTAGTGACAAGAAGGCCTTGTTTGGCAAAGGTTTTTAAAAGAAATTGTTAAAGCTGTCCAAGGACAGAGAGAAGAGATTAGACATTGAGAGACAGTTTTCAGACTACAAAAACAAGAGCCACTATGGCTTCAAGAGCTCTGCTAGAGGGTTTCACAGAGGAAACAGCCGGCCCTTTCACAGAGGGCCCTCATCAAGTTACCAGGGTTACAGAGGTGGCGACCGTTACAGTTCCAACTCATTCCAGAAGATGCGATTCACCAACTCGACTAGAAAGCGAGACGGTGGTGGCAGAGGCAGAGAGTTTTCCAGAGGAAGATATGTATGCTTCACAATATCAAAAGGGAAACACACTGCACAGTCAGTTACAGGACTTAGACTTTCAGGTCATTCAGGCAGATCCCAAACTAGGGGGGCGAATAAAACACCTCATAAAAAATTTGGAAAAGTTGACAAAGGATCATTTCATTCTAAATATTGTTCAAGGGTACAGAATAGAATCAATCAAATTCCTCAGCAAAAATCAGAACCAAACGAACTAAAGATGCAAAAATCAGAAATGGACATAATGTCTGCAGAGGTAACAAAAATGTTAGAGAAAGGGGCAGTGCAGTGCGTTTCTCCAGTAAGAAACCAGTTCGTGAGCACAGTGTTTGTAACACCAAAGAAAACAGGGGGTCACAGACCGGTATTCAATGCAAAGAAACTAAACTGTTGTGTTGCTTACCAACACTTCCAAATGGAAGGAATTGTGACATTGACAGAACTCTTAAACAAACAGGACTATATGATAAAAATAGATCTCAAAGATGCCTATCCCAGTGTGCAACGAGCACAAGAAATACTTAAGATTCCGCTGGCAAAACAAGCTTTACGAGTTTCAATGCTTACCCTTCGGAATTGCTTCAGCACCGAGGGTATTTATTCACAAAGCTTTGAAACTAGTGATATCGTTCTTATGCAGAATAGGAATCCGAGCCCAAATTTATCTAGACAACTTAATTTTGGCAAATCCCCAGAAAGACGCATTGATGATAGACAAGGATTCGACCCTAGAAATTCTAGAGAAACTAGGTTTTGTAGTGAATTGGAAGAAGTCAGTCCTAGAATCATGTCCGATAATAGAGTACTTGGGTTTCACTGTCAACTCGATAGACATGACGTTGTCACTTCCACAGGACAAAGTGACTGGCATTCCTCGACAGTGCGAAATAATGTTGACTTGTTCCCACACAACTGTACAACAGCTAGCGACATTGATAGGCAAACTTACTGCCTCAATGATGGCGGTGCTACCAGCACCGCTACACTATCGACGTTTACTAATGTTGAGAACGAAAGCTCTCCTACCCAAACAAAACTACGAGACGAAAGTGACATTGACAGTAGAATGCAAACAGGAACTGAGATGGTGAATACATCATCTCGCAGATTGGAACGGCAAATCTTTCCTCTCGACAGGGCCGGATGTAGTCATAACTACAGACGCCTCGAAATTGGGAGGGGAGCAGTGTATGGGAAAGTTCGGACAGGTGGAGTGTGGAGTCTCTCCGAGAGAAAACACCACATCAATGTTCTGGAGCTTATGGCTGCTTCGTTATCCATTCAGACATTTGCCAAGAGCAGAACAGATGTGCACATCCATCTAAGGATGGACAACCGATCAGCAGTGGCATACCTCAACAAGAAAGGGGGAACGAAGTCCATGGACTTGTTGACGGTAGCCCAAATGATCTGGGATTACCGCCTTGAGAAAAAGACCATAATATCGGCCGAATACCTTCCCGGGAAGGACAATGTGGAGGCAGATTGGGAATCGAGACACCACTCAGACTCCAGCAACTGGAAACTGAAAACAGTTTATTTCAATCAAATAAACAAAATTTGGGGACCAATAAATGTGGATCTGTTTGCCGACAGACTGAACAGACAGGTGGACAGGTATGTCAGCTGGCGGCCAGATCCGACAGCATGACAAACGGATGCCTTCTAATGGAATGGAAGGACATGAAACCATATGCATTTCCCCCATTCAGATTAATAGGCCGATGCTTAATGAAGGTAAAAAAGGAAAAATCAGAACTCATACTAATAGCTCCCACATGGCAAAGCCAACCATGGTTCCCTATTCTGATGAGCTTGTTAACAGAGGAGCCAATCCTCCTCCCTCCAGACCCACAGATGTTGTCGTCTCCAGCAGGGGAGACCCACCCCCTGATGGAACAAGGGTCTCTTACCCTTGCAGCCTGGAGAATCTCGGGAGTTGTAACCAGCCAGAAGGCATTTCTGAATCGGCTTCCGAGTTACTCTCCAAATCCAGGCGCCCAGGCACCAGGAACTCTTACAACAGCTCCTGGCAGAAATGGCGTAGTTGGTGCATGGGGTGGGAAATTGATCCATTTCAAGCCTCTGTGGCAAATGTGATTAAACTTTCTCACTCATCTGTATGAATCAGGCTATTCTTACAGCACAATCAATGCAATAAGATCTGCTATTTTTGCATCTTTAGTTCTCCTGGTTCTGATTTTTGCTGAGGAATTTGATTGAATTATATTCTTTACCCTTGAATAATGTTTAGAATGTAATGATCCTTTGTCAACTTTTCCCAATTTTTTATGAAGTGTTTTAATATCCTCCCTAGTTTGGGATCTGCCTGAATGACCTGAAAGTCTAGGTCCTGTAACTGACTGTGCAGTGTGTTTCCCTTTAGATATTGTAAAACATACATACCTTCTGCCTCTGCCACAACCGTCTCGCTTTCTAGTCGAGTTGGTGAATCGCATCTTCTGGAATAGTATTAAGATTGTTGTTATTGTTGTGTTTAATTTTTTAGATGGGAAAAAAGATGTCAGTACTCAAAGCAGGGCCTGGGGAGTGCAGTTGCGGCTCTTACGGGGCAGGGTCTGTCATATAGGTCGACATCAAAACTATCCAAAGTACCCACCATGACCACCAACGGGTGTGTGTGTGTGTGTGTGTGTGTGTGTGTGTGTGTGTGTGTGTGTGTGTGTGTGTGTGTGTGTGTGTGTGTGTGTGTGTGTGTGTCTGACGCACAATCCAACCAAAGTGCTGGCGGAGGCGGGGGTTAAATATTTAAATATATTAAATACTTTAACTGACCTGTTTAATTCTGCTGCCACGTTACCTGTTGTTGCCACATGTACTGTGCTGTGACTGTGAGGTGGTTAGATTGGTGCAGAGGAAATATCTGAGTTTTGAAATCAGCCAATGAGAAGCTAAGAATTAGGGTTTGATTCTCGTTCCAGAATGCTGTTGGTTGTTTGGTTGTTTAACGCCGCACTCAGCAATATTCCAGCTATATGACGGCGGTCTGTAAATAATCAAGTCTGGACCAGACAATCCAGTGATTGATATAAGAGCATCGATGTACGCAATTGGGATCGAATACATGCATCAACCAAGTCAGCGAGCCTGACCTCCTGACACCGATTGTCGCCTCTTACGACAAGCATAGTCACCTTTTTACGGCAAGCATGGGTTGCTAAATACCTATTGTACCCCGGATCTTCACTAACCATAGCTATTACTAAATAACCTTTCAGATGAATGGAATTCATTTGAAAATCCAAGACAAATATAACAGAATGTCAATATATAGAGGATATTTAATGTGTTTTCTCAAATAACACTTTTATCTCATCGAGTGAAGTGGGGAGAGTCTAATATTTTCACGAGTGAAAATATTAGACTCTCCCCACTTCGGAAATTAAAGCGGGCGCTTCTCGCCTCGGCGGTACGTCTCGCTGTCGCCAGTTGTGCCAAATGTCTGGCGAAGCATGTCCGGCGCAAGAGTGATATTAACATTGCCATAGATGTTATTTCCAGACATCAGACTCGTCAAAAAGTTCCTGTGGTCAGTTGAAGAGAAGCTATGCACCTGCGGTTGAGACAGTCGGCATCTGACGTAAATCCGAATTTTGATTCAACCAAATACAAATAGACCATGATTCCATGGTTACCCGGAAATCCCGAACACCTTCGTAAGTGTCAGTAGATTAAAGTCACGAGACACCATGGTTTCCCCTAACCTTCGTCACTTACCGTTACTCCTTCGATGATTTCCGGTCATTTCCGTGACGTTTCAGGAATGACTAGGTAAATTTGCACTCAATTTAGCAGTGTGGACGTAGCTCAGTCGGTTAGCTGTCGCGTCCGACGGATTCTCACAAGTGTAACTTGTCTTATACGTGACCTACGACAGAGATCGTCTTCACGAGAAGTTGTGGTACTGTATTCTCATATTGTATATACATATTTTCATATTGTATGACTTCAATGACACAACACTTCGCATGAGCTATTTTAGTCTGCATTCAGAGCAGAACCTTTCTACTAAGCCTGTCGGCTCAGGTACACGGTCACATTGACATTGTCACCACCACATTGCCAGGTGAGCCCCCGACAACGCATATAAAGTCAACATTAAACATTACGCGAATGTGAAATATTCTTATTCCCAGTTCAGTGGCTGCAAGATCATCAGCAAAGTAAAGCCATCGGCGACAGTTATTTATAAGAACCTGTCCTTGTTTAAGACATGTTAAGGAACAAAAGGACCGAGGATAGTTTAAAAGGTGAAAACCTTCTTTTCAAAGAGTAATAAGTAATCAGACACCGTCATACAGGTGGAAGACCACGAGCTTCACGTGGACCTGATCGTAATCTCTCTGATGTCCCCGACACAGGCGAGTGAGTTTACTTTACGTGGAACGTTTCCAGGAAAAGGCTCGTTTCTCGGAACTTCTTGTGTATGGTTCATTGTGGCATTTTCTTATTTCCAGAATACAAAGGCTTCAAGACCAGCAGTAAATTGACACATCATCTCCGAAAGTTAGCCATAGGAATTGGGAACTTGTTTTCGACACTTCTGTCACCAAAATGTCTGAGTCACGTTTAAAAGAGGCGAAAACCTTCTTCACAGAGGGGAATAAGAAATCAGACGCTGTCATACAGGTGGAAGACCACGAGCTTCACGTTGACCTGATTGTAATCTCTCTGATATCCCCGACACTGGCGAGTGAGTTCCAGCCACGCCCGGACCCCCAGTCTCCTCCTAGCGAAACCAACAAAGCCGTGGCCAAGTTGGACGGACGTGTTGACCACATTGTGGACATGCTGGCCTCCATCTACCCCAACTTTAGGAGCGTCAACGTTGTTGATAAAGACAATGTCGAGTATCTACTCCCACTGGCTGCGAAGTACAAGCTGCTGTTTCTGGTGGAAACATGTAAAAC